GAGGGTGGTCATTCCACACACGTGGTTCCCAGGGCCATGGGAATGTCATGTCTCGTCATGTGGTGTGCTGACTTTCTAATGATTGTGAATTTGTTTTGCACGGGCAGTAATAAGGTCCTGTGGGTGTGGCCAATGGAGAGAGTGGATGGAGATGCCGGCCTGTTGCCCGTTACCCTGGATACGGAGCCCCGTGTCTCATTTCTGTGGCTGACACTCCGTGCAGCTCTGCCAAGCACCAGATCAGAAATACGTGTCTCCTAAGTCCTGAAGACACAGCCTTCTCCTTATTTGAGCTGTGGGGTTAGTTCCCTCTCCCCCCTCCACCCCATTTGGTTCTCTTTTCCCTCTTGTCTGCTGGGTGCAAATTCCAAATAGAATAGCTGGTGAACTGTAACCAGGAGCTTGCTTGGTGGTAAAATACATAAATAAATAAAGGCAGTGCTGTGCAGTGGGCAGAGCAAACGAGCGATGGGAAGTCCTTCCTTTCTTCATCCCCTTTTCTTTTCTTTTTTTATTTTGAGGATGGGAGAGTTCTTTAAACATTTTTTGGAATAATTTTTCATTCTGTCTTAATTTCAAACTTATAGAAGAGTTGCAGGAATGAACTGCTATATACCCTTTGTCCCACTTCACCCGTGGTTTATATTTATCTCTGTTTAATCACATCCTCTCTTTTTACACATGTGCACACACCCACCCACCCACCTCTCTCTCTCTATATGTGTGTGTGTGTATATATACATATACATATATATACATGCACATATGTGTGTATATTTTTCTGAGCCACTTGAGAGTAAATTGGAGATACTGTTGCCCCTTTACTCCTAAATACTTCAGTGGATGTTTCCTAAAAACAGGGAAATTTTCTCTTAAACATCCATAGTACATCAATCAAAATCAGGCAGTTTATCCCTGATGCAATACTAATACGTCATCCGTGGTTCATGTTCCAGTGTTGTCGTTTGTCCAGGATCACCCCTGGTACTGAATGGCTGCACGTCCTTTGTCTCCTTGGGCCTGGGATGGATGTGGAGCCTTTCTCTGAATTTTGTAACATGAACGTGTGGGAAAGGGACAGGGCAGTGCTTCCGGTGAAAGAAGAAAAAAGAAAAAAGTGTTAGTCGTTCAGTCATGTCTGACTCTTTGCAGCCCTATGGACTGTAGCCTGCTGGGCTCCTTTGTTCATGGGATTTTCCAGGTAAGAATACTGGAGTGGGTAGCCATTTCCTTTTCCAGGGAATCTGCCTGACCCAGGGATCAAACCTGCATCGCTCACATTGCAGGCAGATTCTTTACCATCTGAGACACCACTCTCCCAGTTTAGGCTCCTCTGACGTTTCCTGGTAACTGTAGAGTCCACCTTGGCATTTCTGGTGGGAAATGTAGGGCTGTGCTCTCGTGTGTCACATCAGGGGGCCCAGGACTTCGGTTTAGCCTGATATTGGTGATGTGAACTCTGGTGACGTAGACGGAGGTGGTGTCTGCCAAGTTCCTCTGCACCTCTTTTCCCCCCGAATGTAATAAGGGGAGTTACTTTGCAGCCACACAAGTTTGTTGTTTATCAAACTTTCACCCACTCCTGTTAGCATCCATCAATGATTCCAGCTGACATTCTGCTGTGAAGTGTCCCTTCTCCATTATTTGCTAACATTTTGTTGAGATTTTCACATCTATATTCAAGAGGACTATTGTAGGCAATTTTCTTTTCCTATTATGTTTTTGTCAGGTTTTAGAATCAGGGTTATTCCAGCTTCAAAAAAATGAGTTGGGAAGTATTCCCTGCTCTTCTATTTTCTGAAAGATTTTGTTTAAGATTGGTGTTATTTTTCCCTTAAATATTTGTTAGCATCCCCCAGTAAAACTTCTGGCTCTAGGGTTTTCTGAGATGGTTTTTGATGACAGATTCAACACAGATATGGCCTGTTCACATCTGTGTCATTGGGTAAGTTGTATATTTTCAGGAACTTATTAATTTCATCTGAGTTGTTAATTTATTGGGATAAAGTTGCTTACAATATTCCCTTATTCCTTTACTCCCTGGGAAGATCTGCAGTATTATCCCTTCCATTTATGATATTGGTAATTTCTGCTGTTTATTATTTCTTTCCTTCTACTTACCTGAGTTCAGTTTGCTTGTAGTTTTCCAGTTTTTTAAGGATAAAGCTTAATTTTTCTCAATCCAGCTTCTTTTCTACTTTAAGGGTTTAAACCTATGCATTTAATGTTAATGTCTTTGTCATGTATTGACTCTTACTAAAAGGTGACTTTCTCTATCACTGGTAGTAATCTGTATCTTGCAGTCCACTGAGATAGTATGATTAATATAACTTACTCCAGGATTCTCATGCTTACTGCCCATCATAGTATATCAGTTTATATCTATTTACTCATATGTCTATATATGTCTTTACATTCAAAATGTTCTACCTTTCATTGACACAGAGTTTGGTCTTGTTTTTATATCCATTTTAATAGTTCCTACCTCTTAATTGGAGTGTTTATTCCACTTATGTTTAATGTAATTACTGATATATTTGAATTTAATTCTGCCACTTTTTTTGTTTTCCATTGGTCTCGTTTGTTATTCTGTTAATTTTTTCCTGCCTTCCTTGGGCTAATTGACTATTTTTGTAGTATTGCATTTTAATTTCTCTATTGAGAATTTTCAAAAAATATAGTACTTTGCAGCAACACAGTTCTACTCACCCCACCCCCCCACCCCCAGTGCTATTGTTTTCACGTACATTATGACATGTACATTACATGACAATCCTGGTAATATGATATTACAATTTTTGATTTGAACAATTCTAAGTTTTAGAGCAAGTAAGAAAATAAAAAAAAAAAATCATAGCCTTTTATACCCACAGTTTTACCATTTTTGATGCTTTTGTTTCCTTTCCTTGGTCTGAGTGTCCATCTGATGTCATTTCCCTTCAGCCTGAAGAACTTTAGTACTGTTTTTAGTTTGGTTGGCTGCTGACAAAATCTCTGTTTTCATCTGAAAATGTCTTTTTTTTTGCCTTCAGTTTTGAGTGATAGATTTACTGGATATAGAACTGAGGTTTGTTCTTATTTTTCCTTGCAGCACTTGAATGATACCATTTTGCTGTCTTCTGGAGAGGTCAGCTGTCATTCATACCATAGCCCTGTGTAGAAGATCCTTTTTCCTCTGTCAGCTCTTGAGATTGTTCTCTTTGTCTTTGTAGAGTGGGTGTTTATCTTGCTTTGTGTTTCTTAAACTCCTTGGATTTGTGTGTTGATGCCCTTCACTTAACTTGGGCAGTTTTTGACTATTGTTCCTTTAAGTGCTTTTTAAAACTCTTTTTTCTTTCAGTCCAGGACTTGGATCACATAAAGTTGGCACTCTTGATATTGTCCCATTAGGTGTCTGAGTTTCTGTTTTTGTTTATTTTTTAAATTTTTCTGTCTAATGCTCAGATTTGGTGATTTTCATTGCTCTTTTTTAAGTTCAGTGACTCTTTTTGTCACCTCCGAAAGGTGACAAAAGCCTCCCAGAGGCTGTTAGGCCTCTCCATTACATCTGTTTTACCATAGTTATTATGGTTTTTAGTGCTGGAGCTTCCACTTTTGACCTTTTTTGTAGCTGACGTATCTCTATGATGTAGAGATTCCCTGTATGTTCTTTATGCTTGTATTTTATTTTAATCCTTGAATATATTTATAAAAGCTCCCTGCAAGTCCTTGTCTGGTACTTGCAACATTTGGATCATCTTGGTGTTGATTTCTGTTGACTGTTTTTTTCTTTACTATGGGTCACTTTTTCCTGTTAACACATAATTAGTTATTTTTAATTGAATGTTGTTGTTGTTGTCTGACCAAGCTACTGTGTTTTGGTCAGAAGTCTTGATTTTTTTTTTTATAGTTTCCATTTCTTTGATGAGATTTCCTATCTGCTCATTTGTTATGAGTATTTTCCTTTTAGTTAATAGCTCTTTAAAGTCCTTTTAAAGCTCACTACTTCTAACATCTGCATCTTCTGTGGATTTGTTTCTACTGACTGAGGTTTTCTTTGAACGTAAGTCACATTTCCCCTTGCTCTCATGTCTATGAATTTTTATTATCTAATGTGTCTTCTTGACGAAACAGTGCAGAAACTCTGGACTCTGTGGTTTTCCTCTGAAGAGTGTTGACTTTGCTCTAGAGTCTGCTCTGTCTTCAGCCCTCAGCAGCTGAAACCACACAGCTCCTTCTGCCTTCCAGCTATCGCTTCACTCTGTGAACCTTACCCCCTCCCCAGTGCCCACATGGTGCCGAGATCAGCCGAGAGTTAGAATTAGAATAAGATTTAATCTCAGGCAGGTGGGGGCTTTCCCTTCTCTAGCTCTCTTCCAGGATTTCTTCCTCACTTTCCAGCTACTCTGGTCAGCTCTGTCTCTGTTCTCTGACTTCTCAAGCCAGTTAAGCGGTAGCTTTTACTTTAAGTTCAGCTACCCTGCATGCTGGTGCAGAATGAGGGGTGCCCTGGGCAGAAAGACAGCAGCAGGGCATGTTGTATCCAAGGTCTGCTCCCTTTTAGTCCTGCCAGTGTTTGGTGAGTCTTTGGTGATGGCCTGCAAGCCAGCTATTCCTATATATCCCGCTTCACCAATATTTGGTTTGGGTAACAGGACTTCCCCTCTTTGAGCATTAGTTTCCTCGTCTGGAAAAATGAAGATGAATGATACTTATGTTGTAGGGTTTGAGGAACATGAAAGAGGGGATGTATATAAGTGGTTCATGCATGTGTCGGGCACACAGTAGGCATCTGGTAAGTGGTCACTCTCAGGCTTTAGACAATCTGAGTAAGACTTGAAAACTGTTGGCCTTCTATTGATGTAACTTGACAAAATGCAAAAGAAGGTGTTCTCTGTTTTGACTCCTGGGGTGTTCTGGCAATATTTTGAATATTAGCTTTCAGAATCTAGATAGTGATCCATGTGAGATCTGTGCTGTGGTATCTCAAGTGACCCGGGTTTTTTTCTTGTTATTTGTAGATAATCTGCAAGCTGTCGTCAGTGCTGAGCAAGAGCATAGTTGAACGCCTGCTGTTCCCTCGATTCTGTGAGCTGTGTGGCTACGGGAAGCTCTTTCAAGTTCGGAAGGTGGGAGCATGTGGTTTCAAAACTCAGAAAGTTAAAACATTCAAAATCGATTCCTTGAAAGTGCCTGGACTTCCTCAGTAGACGCAGTCTGGATGAAAAGCGCGGGCAGAGTGAACTGTGTAAGACAACAGTGAATACCGCTGCCAGTTCTCCCGGCCACTCGGGCCCTGTGGAGATTCGGGGAGGCACAGGAGGGAGAGACCTGCTGAGACCTGTCGGCTTGTGCTTAGTCGCTGGGCCAGCATGCAGGGCCTCTCACCGTCTGGGTTGAGGGGCTCTAGGACCCTCTTAGGTTAGCCGTCCCTTCTGACTGCACTCCCTGCTCTGCCCCCCTCCTTTTATGGCTGGTTGCTTGGTTGTCAGAGTCTTCCTTCTGAAAGCCATTGCCTCCCTACCCCTCTCCCCATCCCCAGCAGCCTCCCCCTCCACCTTGCTATGCAACTGCTCATCTTTTCTATGGCCTCTCCTCATGACACGATGCAGAGCCAAGGAGACAGGGCTCATTTACCTTGCAGAGAATATTAAGGGTCTCTTTTGCTCTATTGCTAACCAGATGCATTATGTATTGAGACAATTAGGAGCCAGAACGTCCTAGCATGTGGTGCCCTGTTGTAAATCTTCTGTTTCCAATGCAGCAAAGGCACCTGGGTGGTGCCGAGTGAGCGCTGGACTTGGTAAGTGCTTGTTAGCTGCCCGACCAGTGGACTAATTGCTCTCAAGCTTCCTGCTTGTTGGTTTTCACAATTTGTTAAGACAAAAAGAAATCTGAGAATCATGAGCATGCGTTTTGCCTCTTTAAGGTGAGTGCTACAAATTTTGGTGGTATTTGTCACGCTGCCAGACAAGAAGGCCCTGAACAGTTTTTGGTACGTGACATTTTGCCAATTGTCATTGCCGATGCACATCTTAGGGCACTTTTGAAATTAGTGGTAAAGTTTTGTCTTTATGAGCCTGTTACTTTGGAACGGCAGCTCAATTTTGCATTCATCAGTTTCAGGTTTCTTGACTCCAGGAGCTGCGGTTTCTCTTAATCTCCGGGTGGCTGGTTGCGGGGTTGAGCAGGAGCAGCCCCCGCCTCTTTCCTGGGGGCTCCCGCTGTTGCTTCCTCACTGGTCACTTCCCCCAGTCTCTTCTTGCTGTCTAAGCCGCCCTCTCTGTTCCTTGCTGACTGCTCTTTCTGTAACACTGTCCACCACCTCACTGCTGGGCTTCAGTACCTGTGCGACTTTTCTTGGTTTATAGATTAAAATCCAGATTCCCATTTCCTACCCCCCTGCCCAGGTCCCTTCACAGGTGCCTTTCCTGTCTCACCTCCATCACCTCCCTCAGGTCTGATTGCTTCTCTAACCATTGGTCATGCATGTAAATCACGGGGAAGGCGAAAGAGGGGGTATTTTTGATAAAGTCCCCAGTGATTCTTGGCACAGCAGGGTGGAGAACCATGTCACCCTTTGGCTGGGGGGCTTTTCAGGGCCTCAAGGCTTTCTGCTCTCGCATACCGCCTCTCTCCCCCACCTCCCCTGCTCATTACTACCCACCTCCTTCCAGAGGCTTCGCTGTCTGGGGGGACCCTGCTTACAGTTCACACCCAGCTTGCAGGTGCATTTGCTTTTTCCTTGTCTGGACTCACCCGCTGCTATGTCAGAATTAGTTTCTCCCTTCTCGGCATTCTGTAGCATTCTGTTCAGGTTATGTCCCTCACACTCCTCTTTACAGTGTCATTGATGGGGGCCCTTCACCTAGTTGTGTTGGTCTGTTTCTCCACTGCCCACCGAGCACCAGGTCCCCAGAGAACTGTGCTCAGTAAGCACTTGCCACTTTTATGTGACAGGGTGTAATACCTGTATGGTTTGAATTTAACCTCAAAAAGTATCATCTTTAAGTTGGTTTTTAAATTTAAGTTTAGAAGCTCATTTTGTTCTATTTAAACTGTAGCCATTCAACATAATTCTGAAATAATTTTTAGTGGGCTGTTGCCATGAGCACACAACGTTATCTCCTATAGTAGACAGGAGAAGAGCAGTGACCAACATACTAATTCTTCTGTAGGTGGATATTTCCACAATCATATGTTTCTATTTGTGAAGCATTTTGGCTGATTATTCTACCTAAGGATATTAAAGACAGAGCCTTATTTTTAAAGGGTAAATTTAAAAAGAAGTCATAATCATGACCTCCCTACAGACATAAGATGAACACGGGTCAGAGCTTTTATTGAATGCATCGATTAGTGAAGGAACCAGTAAGATCCAACAACTAGCTTAACTGAAGTGCCAAAAGTTCACAGTCACACTGAGGAGGACCGACGTGAGCTTGTAAATTGACTCACCACCATCCATATCCAGGGTGATGATATGATGTGGAACCCATTGTGTTCCATCGATCCCAGCTTGCCTTCTATGGCTCCCAGCTTGCCTTCTATGAATAGGAACAGTTTGCATTACTATCAGGTTTTAAGAGTCTGCCCTCTATGACTAAAAGGGAGACTGTGGCTCAGACATAAAAAAAAAAATCTGCCTGCAATGCAGGTAAACCCGGGTTTGATCCTTGGGTGGGGAAGATCCCCTGGAGAAGGGAATGGCAGCCCACTCCAGTATTCTTGCCTGTAAAATTCCATGGACAGAGGAGCCTGGTGGGCTATAGTCCATGGGGGTTGCAAGGAGTCGGACATGACTGAGCGACTAACACTTTGACTTAGGAATAAAACATCCCCAAAGACCATCTTACTTTGGTGGGTGTGCTCCTTGGGGAATCCAGAATTTCAAAGTCATCCACAATTTTTCTCTACAATTCACATAACAGATACCAGTCATTCAGCCTTTGGGAGGTTTTCTGTATTTATCTTCTTGGATTTAACCAGGTCATTTGCTAGGATTAAGGGGTAAAGGAAGTTACTTCTTGTTATTTCTGTTTGTTTCAGACGCTTTCTTTTGAACTCATATCTGGTTCCCTTTTCTGCGCCCTTGACTTACAGCTCTGCCTCCATGGCATCACTAAGTCAGGCCCGCCCTTGCTCAGGATGGCTGAGTCTGAGCAGCATGGTTCTGTTTGCTTTGGTAGCCCCCTAAGTTTTTTGGGCTCTGCACGGACAGTGTATGGGGGATGCGGAAAGCTTGTGCTGAGTGCTTCCTGGCCGTGGCCCACAACATGTCCCCTGTGGTCTGCAGGGCCAAGCTCTGGCCCCTTTTCATCACACTGATCAGTGACCCCTGCCGATGGGTGAGTGTGGCCACTCTGGGGCCTCGGCGTGGCCTCTGGACTTGTCACTGTGTCCTGTGTCTTTTCAGTAATGGGCCAGCTTATTTAGACTTTGTGAGGATTATTAGGGGACCTGAAATCTCAGAAGCCTGCAGCGTTGGTAGCAAACAAATATTCCAGAAATGAAAATGAGGAGGAGAAAACTAACTGCCAAGTTACCTTTTCTGTTACAGTCATAAACATGCCCACAGTGATTAATAAGCGCTGTTCACATGCTTTACAAAGTCTGGAATTATTTGATATGGAATTAATATTCTGGAAGCATACAAGCTACCTGATGGTACTACATTTTTTTCCTGATTTTCTATTGAAAAACAGTTTATTTGGAACTTAGGGACTGCTTTTAGAAAGCAATGCACCTGCTGAGACATGATTCGGTGGACAGCGAGCTGTCTGGTGGTTAGCCATCTGTCCCACCTGGAATCAAGTGAATCAGACCCTGTACCTACTGAGCCCTTCTCTCTGGTTTCAGGTTCTCCAGGCTGCCTTCAGTCCCTGGGCCCCTTCATCTCCACCTTTGCCAATCCCTCCAGGGCTGGCCTTTATATTCAGGAAGATGGTACCTTGAACATCTGACCACCAGCTCCGGGTTTGGACTCGGACATCAGCCTGGGCTACTAAGTGCAGGCAGCTGTGGGGACACAGCCTCTGCCTGGTGAGTTTCAGCTGGATAATTATCAGGGTCCCCGCTTCACCTCAAGCGTCCACCTAAAATTCTAGCAATTATCTCGTCTGGAGTTTTAGTAACAGTGACCTTCTGGGCAAGATGGAATATTAGAGCTTTAATTATGTAAAGAAGCAAAAAGTAATTGCAATAATGATTTTGAAACATGACTACTGGGTTATAAATAATGAAGCTACTGTCTCCTAAATTTAGATAAAATATTCATTGAGAGTAGTGATTAAATAACCTATAAAGAAAATTTTCTTTTACCATTTGATTAATGAAGTTCTTTGGACAATTCACACAGGGAAAATGTGAAGTTTCCCAAATAGACTTTTGTGCCATAGGATTTTACATGCACATGAAGGTGACATTCCTGACCCACTGTTTATCTGCCCTACACTGTATTTCTTGTATGTTCTAGTGATTGATCTTGTTTTGTTTTTTTTTTAATGGTCTTCCCTCTGAAGATGACAGGTACACTCTAAGCAGACCATTCAAGATGGTTCACAAGCATCTCTCCAGTGTTAATGTTACTTAGCAGTGTGAGAGGAGGTAATTCACATCTCAGGGGGTATGGATGCTCTGTAAGAGTGGTGGATCCTCCCCTCCACCTTTCTTCACCAGAACTCACAGAGTTCTTGCTGAAGGTCAGGCCTGGGGCGCCACGTCTTCCTCATCAAGACTTTCCAACTGGCTCGCGAGTAGCCAGGCCTTTGGGTCCAGCACCTTTTATTTTCTAATGCCTGCCCCCTGGTGGAGGGACTGATGAGCAGTAAGTGCAAGAAGTCTTGCCATGCCTAGGGGTGCCAGCGCACCAAAGCCAGGGCTCATGCACCACTTGGTCATGGTGGAGGGGTTGGCTGCACCCTCTTATGCCTTTTTCAGTGCAAAAAGTACCCCCCAGCAGATCTGAGGGTACTGACTGGGCCTCTCGTCCCCTGTGAGGTTAGTATGTTATGGCCCCAGGAGACCTGAGAGGTTGGGTCTCCAGGTAGATGGGGAGGACTGGCTTGCGAGGATGTGGACCTCACCTTTTCCCATTTTCCTTCCAGTCTATTGTTGTTGTTTGTTGTTCAGTAGTTCAGTCGTGTCCAGTTCTTCGCGACCCCATGGACTGCAGCACACCAGGCTTCCCTGTCCCTCACTATCTCCTGGAGCTTGCTCAAACTCATGTCCATTAAGTCGATGATGCCATCCAACCATCTCATCCTCTGCCACCCCTTTCTCCTCATGCCCTCAATCTCCAGTCTGTTGTATAGCACTAAAAACTTGCTTCCCCCATTTTAACCTAGTTCAGCACAGCCAGGCCAGAGAGAGCCAGCTCTGCCTAGAGAAGGCCCATCCATAGACACCAACACCTTCCCACGTGTCAGTAGCCCCTCCGGTGGCCTGGTGGAGAACCTGGTGGAAGACTCTGTCTTGGCTGGAGCTAAGCTGACCAGGCTTCCCCCAGAGGCCACAAAGCTCCCCAGTGTTAACAACCTCCCCATCCGTGGCCATCCTTGACTGGATCTGTGGGCCCGCGCAGTGTGTCCTGAGGATGCTTTCAATAATTTCCTTTATTGGCGAACTCCTCTCCCTGACACAAGCAAGGACTTAGAACTGCTGCTGAATGAGGCTGGCCATAGGAGGAAGGCGGGATTTCACCCGGGGCCATGCATAGGGGCTATGTGGCCAAGAGTGGGATCCAGAGTTCTGGATAGCTTGCAAGAGCACATGATGAATGATTCAGGCATTCAAGATAACTGTTGTCCATCGTGATGAGAGAAAACAGCATTTTTCTCTGTATGTGCGCTCCCTTGTGTCCACCCGGGGGGGCGTGCAGGGGGAGCCTGGCTCAGTCTTTCCCCATTGCCGTCACCACTGTGCAGGTCCCAGCAGGGGTTTCACCTCCTTGCTTTTCAGCCATGCGTGCAAAACTGGAGCCGGCTTTCAGGTAAAAGCAGGCAGTTCTCAGGCACGTCCTAAGCAGTGGAAATTTCATTAGCTCCTTGGACCCGGTTCTGTCACTTCCTGTGTGACAATGCCCTTTCTAGTTATGAACAGCTAAGGACAGTGCTCCTTTCAGAGCCTGTTAACTCAGCCCTCACCTAAACCTGAAGATGTTTGCCTTTGTGCAGCCAGGAAAAGTACAACTTCTTCTCTGGGGTATTTTTCATGCTGTGACTAGTGTTCCCACAGAGTGTCTGATCTGGGAGCCAGGCCCTGCGGTCCATATCCATCATCACGCCTCTTCTTTCTCTAAACACGGCTAGATTTGTATTCTTCCCCGAGTTGGGGAAACTGGAAAAAAAAACAACACTTGCTGCTGTTGCCAGGCAAAGATTTGTGAAGCCTTTCGGGAAAGGAAATGTGAAAATCCAGTTAGCCCTGTGATTATTCTGTGTCTTTAAATTCATAAAGGAAATTAACTCAGCATTTGCTGAAGGATCAAGCACATGTAACATATCGCTCCTAATAGTTATAGACAAAGGTCTGTTTTTGGAAAATGCATTTCTAAAGCTGAGTTATTCAGTGCCTGGACCTGGACTGGGTACTGGGGTGGTGATGACAAGCAGACACAGGAGGCCCTCATGGCCTGGTTGAGGGGATTGTGGAAACAGTCCCCTGCGTAGGGAGTGTCAGGGGCCGGGCAGGGGTGGGTGCACAGGCCAGGAAGCCGTCCCTCCTGGGGGCAGAGGAAGGGTCTGGGAGAAGACCTGGCGGAGCAGCTGACATGTGACATGTGATGCTTTAGGCGATGGCCAGGACTCCACCATTCCGAGAAGTCAGGGATGAGTTCAGAGGTTTCTTCCAGTTTCCCCAAAGCATTTGTGAAATCCTGCGTGCAGATGCGGACTTAATCTCTTTGTGAGAAAGGACCCACAACTTTCATCAGTGCTCAAAGGGATCTGGGACCCCCAAAGATTCAGAAGGAAACCCCACGTTGGGGATTCGTGCCCTAGCCATGGCAGGGTATGGTCTTTGCAAGCTCCAAATATTTCAGTGACTCTCTGGGATTTGACTAGTAGAAAACAGGATGCAGGCAGTGCAATGTGTGTGGAGGCTGGGGCCTTGGAAACATGAGTTTGTTTTTATAGAAAGGCACATGAAATATGTCATCTTCACTGTTAGGAGAGTCTCAGGTTGTCGAGTCGTGGACAGAAAGAGCGAGTAGCCCTGGGGCTCGGGAGCGAGGTCTTCACTCATCCATGAAGATCGCCTCAGCTCACGTGTGTGGCAGCGCCAGCAGCTGTCCACTTTAGAAATGGGGGACCCCTGCCCACCGTGCGTCTGGGCCTCCCGGACAGCGGTGTTCAGGACACTGTGTTGTCTTTCTGTGAAAGGTGATGAAGTTAAACTCTGATTTTCCCAATTGAGGTTTTTCGACTTCAGGTTTAATACTCTGTGCATGGCTGGTGTTTAGCTGGAATAAAGTTAATGTCTGTAGACATCAGCATCTCGGCGAGAGCTCGTGCGGGGGCCCAGGGGGCAGGGTGGGGGTGCTGTGCTGTGCAGTGCGTTTGCAGCCAGCCTGTCTTGTTGTAAAGCCAAATCCAGTTATTGAAATTCTCGAAACTTCTCTTCTCGCAGCTCAAGTTCAGCTGCACTGAGAGCTGCCCAGCGTGCTCTGTGAACAAGGCCTAGCACCAGCTAAGAGAAGGGCCAAGTGACGTGTCCATGCCAGGTCCCATCCCTGCCCCTGACAGCCAGGGCCCCCGGCTGACCTCACCACCATGGGGCGAGCTCTCCGCAGCCAGGATATTAGCAAGCACAGTAAGTCTCGGCCCTGTCCCTCTGTCACCGAGGATGTGACAGAAATCACAAAGCCGCATTTTCTTTTATTAATATATCCTGGCAGAGATGATAAATGGCAAATTTAATTTTATTCTTAAGGTCATGTGTTGGATAACTAGACAACCAATCAATGGGGTGATTGATAACACTGACTCTCCTCCACGAAACAGAGGTGGGAGACCAAAAAGTGCCTTCCCCCCTCCCCAGAGATGACGAGACCTGCTTCTTTGGGGGGAATTAAATGTCTAAAGGCTCCATCTCACCGCTGACCAACATTCACATCTTTCAGTGACGAGAGGAGGTGAGTTCATGCAACTCCTGGAATATAAAGTTGACAGCGGCCTTCAAGCTGTGTGTCACCTCCAGCCTGTCCTGTGGGCCTCCTCTCACACCTGGCTGCTCCGGATGGAGTGGTGGATGCTGTTTCTTGGAGGAAAGATTTTGAAAAGCCAGTAGCTCGTCACTTTTTCTCCTCTAGTCTGGAGCCAGCCCCAGTGAGACCTGGACTCCACGTCTGGGGCAAGGAGGAAGCCCAGCACTTCTTTCTTTTAAAAAAAAATTTTTTTTTTATTGGACTATAGTTGATGTGGGCTTCCCTTGTAGCTCAGGCGGTAAAGAGTCTGCCTGCAATGCAGGAGACCCAGGTTCGATTCCTGGGTTGTGAAGATCCCCTGGAGAAGGCAACCTACTTCAGTATTCTTGCCTGGAGAATTCCATGGACAGAGGGGTCTGGTGGGCTACAGTCCATGAGGGTCACAAAGAGTTGGACGTGAATGAGCAACTAGCATAGTTGATGTGCAATGTGTTAGTTTCAGATGTACAGCAAAGTAAATGTTTAACATATACACGTATCCACTAGTTTTTAGATTCTTTTCCTAAGAAGGCCATTAGAGAGTATTGAGTCGAGTTCCCTGTGTTACACAGCAGATCCTGATTAGTTATCTATATTAGTGTGTATATATCAACCCGTCTCCCAATTCACCCCTTCCCCTGCCTTGTCTCCTGGTATCCATGTTTGTTTTCTACATCCATGACTCTACTTCTGTTTTGTAGAGAGGTTCATTTGTACCTTTTTGTTTAGATTCTGCACGTAAGCAATATCCTATGGTTTCTTTGTCACCTTAAGTTTCTCCAGCTTTCCAGCTTGCTTGTGGTTAGAGGCTCTGATGCCTTGCCAATTCCTACTAAGGTTGCACACGGACCCTCTTGGAGTCCTTCCCAGGTAATGGTAAGACTATCGAATTAAAATCAGCGAGGACTCTGTGCTCATAAAGTCATGGTGTGTTGGCATCCTTTCATTTTTATGTGCTGTGATGGGGAATCTTCAAAATTGTCGTCTCCAGGGCCAGAGTACCAATCGTCTGCCCATTCTCACAGTTTATATTTTGGTTTTCATGATTAAACTAACTTATCACCTCCCCTTATCCCCTTGGTCCACTCCAGTAAAGCAAAACAAAAGATGAATGAAAATGGTCCAAATCCTGAATGTTTAAGAGTTCATTAAGGTTGCCTTTGACTAGTAAGGGATGAGATGATATCCTGTTTTGCTGATTTGTTTCAAAAAATAGGCAAGAAAGCTCACATTGTTACCCTTGTTTCCTGGAGTATAAAAACCATCTGTGTTAAGTGGAAAGATGTGGTCACGTTTACCTTGGTGGGAGATGTGGTACTCTTCGGGCTTTGTCATACATGGACACGAAAACAGAAAAGAAAGAACAGATACCTCCAAGCTGGTGCTCTTGAGTGAAGGATCTCGAAGGGTCTGCATAGTTGGGCTCGTGGTTTATCGTGAGGTATGTCAGGCAGCTTGAACTTGACTTTAGTTTCCTAAGGGGTCAGTCAGGATGCTTCTAGTTGCAAAAGAAGGAAACAAAAAAACCTCAAAGAGCTTAAGCGATGAGGCAGAAGAGGAGGTGAAGCTGGGGGACTGGTCCCCTCAGCCCTTGTGTTGACCCTGGTCCAGCTCCCACTCTACCATCTTTGTGTACCAACTCAATCCAGAGCTGTCCGGGGGAAAGAGGGTCTTCTTCTTCCCACTTATCTCTTTTGACTGCCCAGTGATTTTCTGGGGAAGTGACCTCCCAGCTGCTTCTGGGGTTGCCTTGACTTGGGGTGGTTTACTTAAACCTTAACTTGGCTCCGGGAGTCAGTTCTGCACGTAGTGATGGCACTGAAGACTTGGGAATAAAATTAATTCCTGGAGGAAGAGAAATGATCTATTATTTATTAATCTCTCTGAATTTATTAACTTGGAGAAATTGAGGTCTTAGGTTATCACGTCAAAATATTTCTGTTTTATCATGTTCCTCTATTAAAATGAGCAGTACATTTCAGTGAAAACCTTGGGAATTGAAGGTTCTGGTAGCATGCCTCAGAGCAAGCGAAGCATCTATCGGTGTATTAATCGACTTTCCCGGATCATATATTGAGCTGATTTGTCAGAATCCATTAAGCTAGTCGACAGTATGACATTTCAAGTGCAAGTAGGAAAATCCATGTTATGGTTGAAGGAGAAGGTCAGGTCCATCTCAGTTAATCAATGATCAGAGACCAATATGTCACCACCAGACGGTCCTGCTCATTTTAATTGTTAACCTAATGTAAAGGTTCATCAGCAAACATTAGAGGTATTTGTACATGTGAAAATTGAGAACAATTCCCTAAGTAAATACTCTTTTATCAGCCGTGTCTTTTCACTCAGATTAAATGGGCCCTCCCCTTCCCTGTCCACCCTCTCTCTCTGGAGTCCAGCCGGGAGGCACTCTCCCATTCCTGAGAAACGCTGGGGGTGCTGGTCACCCATTTCCTGCAAACCTTGCTCTGCCTTCTGGAGTGGTCTGTGCTTTAAACATGTGACTGTTTATCAGTTAACCATACCGGGGATCCTGGGGCTTGAAGAAGGGTAAATGCAAACTCAGGTGGTTAGTACCCACCAATGGGAGCCTGTCTTTTGTAAGAGCCTCAAGCAGCCTTGAATGTAAGATGCATCTGCATGAGTGACCTGTGCGATACCAAATATAAGCTTGCAAATGTATTTTTTTGCATCTAGAGAAATGCCACTGACTTCAGGGGGAGCTCTGGCCTTGGTTTGCAGAAGTAATTTCTGGCCCTGAAAGAGGGTTCTTTGAAGGGGGAGCAGTAGGATGGCTTCCTCCTTTGGACTGTGTTGCTAACCTGCCCACTCTACTCTGCAGGATCCAGGCGAACCCAGCAGTGGGATGAGGGACCTCTGGGAGACTGATCAGAGCCATGGCTCCAGTCCCTTTGAAGAGAATAAATCTAAATTACAGGTTTGTTCCTTGACAAGAAAAGCAACTCAACATTTTACATTATCTGGAAGTTAAATTTAAGAATGGCTGTTGGAGCCAAATGTTTTTCTTCCATCAATATTAATGACATATCTTAGTTCATAATCTGTGTTGCTAATATTTCCTCTCCAACCAGAAAAAAGTAAATTCTCAAGTAGTATTTAAAGTATTCCGAACAATCTAGAATGGTATCTTAATAAAACAAAATGAAGTATGAGAAAAGAATTTGACATGTATACATTAATGTTTAATGTCTATTTATACAAACCATTTAAGTCCTTTTTTTTTGGTCTGAAAACTTTTTGACAACTTCTTTTGTTGAACCATGTTTGGTTTTGTTCTATCTCGTGGTTTAGTTTCTTGTGCTATAGAAGTTCTCTTAAAGGTTTTTAATCACTGAATCCCATTGTCCTTGTAGAGAAAAGGTTAGTGGGTAATGTCTTAAGAAGGCAGAGTTCCATCCATTGGGAAAAGGTAGTAGTGAGCAGAGTGAGGGCCTCAAGCCGTAGGGACTGGGGCAGCTATAGGAGGAAAGCGTTTGCATTCTCCAGAGCTGCCTGGACCAGTCTAACCAGACGTTGATGTTCTAGACTAGTTCCAACCACCTTGTCTTTCATGAGTATTGTCCGTCTCTCCTGCAAGCATGATGGTTTCCTTTCTCTCCCATTTCCCAGGACATAATACCTCAGCCCCTGCTAGATCAGTACGTGTCCATGACTGACCCAGCTCGGGTGCAGACCGTCAATACCAACATAGCCAAACACTGCGCCTGCAGCCTCCCCGGGGGTGGCACTCACCCTGGGCCGGCAGAATTGGCACTGCCTGAAAGATACGCACAAGACGCTGGCCTCCGACGTGCAGGTAAAAGGAGCCTTTGCAGAGGCTGGCACAGAACAGCTAATTAGGAGACGGGGAAGCTGCGGCCAGGCCCACTGACCTGTGCTTTTTGTGGCCAAAGTTGACATGTTTACTGGCCTCTGATGAAATAGAGCTTTAAGTGGTCAGCACCTGGCAGTATCAGTTTTGCTCCAGAAATGCCACCTACGCTCTTGATAACGCTGAATTCTGCTTGCCTTCTGCGGTCTGCCAAGTGGAAGGTCCAGTGCACCCTGGCCTTCTTCCATGAGCTTGCTGTGATCCTTGGGGATCAGTTAACAGCAGCCCACCTGCTACCCGTCTTCAACGGATTTCTAAAGGACCTGGATGGAGTACAAATAGGAGTCCTCAAACACCTGTATGACTTTCTAAAGGTAGGGAGAAGGGTTAAAACAAAAAACAAACCTCCCCTATTCAATACACTTTTTTAAAATTGTATTGGGTATGTATAGTATCAGTTTAAAAAAAAAAGCAGCTGTCTGGGTTTCTTCAGTTGAAACGTATCATCCATAGTCTTAAAGTGGGCATTCTTTCAGTGATGGGTAAATATTTTTCTGTCTTTCCTCCTAATCTCCCTGTCCCTTAGAGTTCTAATGCCGTGGAGAATTACACTCCGGGAAAGGAGAAGCTGAGCTCCCGGGCAGCATGTGCCTTGCTCAGGGTCATCTAAGGGAAGAGCCCGGCTGAAATCCAATCTCAGTTCTGCATGAAGAGCTTTTTCTTGCAAGATGGTGCTGATTGCCTCCTTGCCTTTTTTTTCTCCCCTCCTAAAGGAATGATGAGTGTAAAACTGAGAGTTTAAAAATGACCTCAAGAAACTAATTAGTCGCATCCAGACGACCGGGAGCTGCCCTTGACAGAGCTGGGCGCCTGCTGCTTGGCTGGTGTGGGCACAGCGCGCAAGCAGTGCCTCCTCCCCAGGCAGCAGCGTGGCATTATCTCCCGAGCACACACAGGCCTGTTGTTGTTGTTTTTTTTTTCAGGCAGGAAATTGTGAAAGATGGAAGAGTGGAGGGCGTGTAGAAACACACAAGCACATACATGAAACAGGGGAGAAGGGCTGGAAGCAGTCAGGGAGGCACTGTCCGTGTGTTCACAGCAAAGCTAATTCATAGCCACTCTGGGTAATGGAGACACAGGCGTCAGGGAGACACTCGGCTATGGCCAGGGACAGATGTATAACCTGAAGTTTATAATAAAACAGAGGCTTGGGGGGCATTCTGGAGGATTATATATTCTTATTTATGTGTAAATTTTTAAAAACTAGTTGCTTCATGAAGACAAGAGAAGAGAATATCTTTATCAGCTTCAAGAATTTGTAGTGACCGATAACAGCAGGAATTGGAGGTTTCCATATGAACTAGCAGAGTAAGTAAAACCTGTTCGGGGATATGAGAAGGCAAATTAGATGGAATAATTCTTAATTTCACTACCTTATAATTGATTTCTAAAGTAGCAATAAGAGTCTTCTTCTGGATAAAGAGATTATGTTTTTATTAAGGGATAAACTGAATTCCAAAGCTCTAAGTTACAAATACCACAGTCTCCGGGGAGACATTCATTTTCAGAGGCAGACAGGGCGAGAGTCACTTTGGAATTAGAGTGTTCTGCTGTTCTATAAGGCAATTTATTCGAACCAAATAAAAGATGAATCACCCGCTCTTCAATATTCTCCTATTAATCGGAGCAGTTTTTGCCAAAGCTTTCTTGAACATTCTGAGCGTAACCCTCTGTTTAAGGACACAGCGTGGTTTATACACTTCAGCTCCTAAAGAAAATTATGCTACAGTGAGAGAGATGAGAAAGTCTAACCCAGATGAGGTGATTATTGAATAAAAACGTCCCCCAAGGTGGCTCAGAGCTGCACATCATTTTGTGTGTGAAGGAGTTATTTAACTCTATTGTGTGCCGGCAAGAGGAATGTTCAAGGTTTTAGTGATTCCAGAAGAGTGAAATCGTCCCCTTAAATAATTCTCCTTCCCGGGGTGCAGAATGTGCTTTCCGCAGTATTGAGTAGATTTGTTTGTGGTGGTGTTGTTTGGGTGTTAGTTTTCACCTCATCAAGATTTATTTTAGTAATCTCTTGTTTTCATTTTTCTTGCCCTCAACTAGAAATCTCTCAAATAATTGTCTTCCCTGTAGAAATCCATCAGGCTTTTGCAGCTCTTCGGGATAAGATCTGGCCGATGCCAGGGGCAAACGAAAAGATTTTCTCTTTGCTGTGATCCTTAATCATTATGCTTAATTTGAGAGATTGAGGTTTCAGTCATTATGCCTTGTCCCCGGCGCATATTCTGAGAAAAACAGGCCCACGTTTTTTTCCGTGAAGGCATCGCGCCCTCTAGCGGCCGATGCGGGAACTCGGCGCGGTCCGCCTCGGACTGGTCTGAACCGTCTCCCCCGGGTCGGGGGCGCCGATGGGAATTCGGGGACCCAGACTTCGGGTGGGGTCGGGGCCGGAGGCCGTCAGGAAACGGGAACCGGGGGCCGGAGACTGAGGATGGAGTCGGGACGGGGGACCGGCTGATCCACTTCCCGGGGCCGGGGACCGAGGCAGGGCACGGTGTGGAACCGCTGCTGGCGCCGGTGCCGGCTGCGAGGACCCGTTTCCCGGGCCGGGCCGGGCTGACTAGCCTCGCCCGACGGCGTTATCGCCAACATCTGTGCGGTGGTTATTGAAGCCGAAGCCCACCGATATGAATTCTGTGTTCCGTGCCCACGATGCTCGTATCATTTTTCTGAAAACAGTGCTTTTTGGTGTTTTGTTTTTTTTTTTGATATGAAAGTATTCATCGGCACCCCTGGCTTCTGGTTCTAACTTCCACGCAATCACTGCTTCATTTCCTTCCCTTTGCCAGGGTGGATATCATGCCGTTTATTTCGGTTCCCTTCGCCCCTTCCCCACTTGGAGAGAGCTCCCTGGCGGTGGCCTGTTCCCACCGGCGGGTGATGAATTTTCCCGGGAGCGCGGAGCCCGGCTCGGTTCTCCCCAAGCGGACCTCGTGCGAGCGCTGGAGCCGAGAACACAGGCAGAGCGTTTAGTCTGCAGCGTCCGGGGCTGCGGCGACCGGGAAAGCTCATTTCTTTTCCCCTTGATCTGCTGATCTTTGGGAACTTCAGAGTCCTGGCTATTTTTACGTTATCTGATTTTTAAAAGTTTTATGTGTTTTCGAACTGATAACCTAACGTTGAAAGATTAAATCCCTTATTCATAAATTTCTCAACCTCTGTTTTACAAAGCCTAACTTATTTTCTTTTGGTTTGATTTGTGTGCGTGAGAGAGATGAAGAATTAAGATTTCTTTGTTTTTCTTCACTTTTCTTTGCGTAGCCATTTTCCCCTCAGCTTCCGTTGATCTCCCGGCCCGGCTATTTTTAGCTGTAAGATGAAATGAGAGTAAAGGGAGATAAATAATGTTTTTCACATTTTGCATTTCATAATTTCTTTTCTTTTTAATTTCGGGCAGCTGATACTGATTTTGGAACTCCATAATCCCAATGATGTTTATGATTATTTAATGCATACTGCCTTAAAGTTGTGTGTAGATAAAGTTTCTGAGGTTTGGTGGATCTCCTTCAAATTAGTCAGGAATCATGGCCTTTTCTGTTTATGATTTTTAGAAAAAGGAATATTTATGTTTCTTCCATTTTAACTCCTGTATTTTATTTGGGCTTAATTTGTCCATTTACTCATGAAAGCAGCTTTTATTTTGAAATTAGAAACTGTATTATAGTTTTATTAATATGTAAGTTAGCTCTTTGGTTTAACTGTGTGCCTGAGTATGAAAATTGTAGGTAAATTACTTTATGTATCACACTCTTTAAATAGTGACTTAGTGTTTTCTTTTAAACATAAATTGGGTTGATGCTCTAGCATGGTTTTATAAGAAAAGTGGTTACTAAGCAGACTCGAGCAAAGAAAAGCTGATCCTGTTTTATGTGAGCTTATACCAGCTGAACACTGAGGGGAAAAAAAAACACTCACTTGAAAATATCCATTTACTAAGGTACTCTGATGGTGTTAAAATGTTATAAAAATGACATGTTCTGAAAGGTAATGATTTAGTTAGCAAGGGGACATTTTCTCAGATTTGGAATTTTAAGATTAATAATGTATTTTTCTAATGCCATTCCCTTTTTTAAATTCCGTTTTTTATGAAGGGTTTTATGTGTGTGTGTGTATGTAATGCCATATATTTAAACATCTTTTTTCTTCTGTGTTCTAATGATCACTGTGACAAAAATTACTTTCTCTCGTGCTTATAAATTCATTTTAAAAGTGGAAGGGTACATAAAAACGTCTCGTTCCCATGTAGAGTAGTATTCATAATTCAAGTAGATGGCAGCATTTTAAATTTGCTCTTCTAATATTTTTCACAGGTGGTGGCAATTCTGCAGAAGTTCTGTTCAAACAATGACAGTGCACTGGGGTTCTGTTTCATCATGAACTCATCCTACGGTTCCGGCACTGTTCTAAGTGGTTCAGAAGGCAAGCATTTGCTTTCATTTGTCAGGTTAGCAGGGGTCCCAGGGGAGCATCCAGCGCGTGCATACGTTTCCTGTGTGATGTCAACACACAGCACCAAGCAAAGGATCCCAGCCTTGGAGGACTAGCCAGAAGCTTGGGGATCAGCGAACCAGGCCCCTTCATATCACACAGCCTGGTCAGGCAAAGAACCTGCCCAGGGTTCCCCAGCTACTCAGCACAGTCCTCTGTAGATAGTGGCCGGGCACCTACTGTGTGCCGGGCGTGATCTGATACCGCAGCAGGACGGGAACCACCTCCTGCTCTCCCAGCACCTGCTGTCCAGTGCGTGGGGGCTAGGCCCAGACCCTGCTCCAGTCATGCCCAGTCCTACTTCCTGGGGAAGTGGGGGGTGGGTGCAGTGAGGAACAGAGCAGTAGGGCAGAGACCGCTTCATCTCTTTGAGGTCAAGTTCAGGTCCCCAGGGAGCCCTCTCTAATTGTTGCTCAGTCATGTCATATTCTTTGTGACCCCATGGACTGTAGCCCCAGCAGGCTCCTCTGTCCATGGAATTCTCCAGGCAAGAATACTGGAGTGGGTTCCCATTTCCTCCTCCAGGGGATATTCCCGCCCCAGGGATCTCTTGCATTCCTTGCATCTCTTGCATCTCCTGCGTTGGCAGGCGGGTTCTTTACCCCTGCGCCACGTGGGAAGCCCACCCTTGCTACACAACATCTGAGAAGTGAGGGTGAGGTTTATGTTTGGCTGGGCTGATGGCTGCCACCTTTGACCGCCTGTGTGTGTCAGGCCTCTCATCCTACATCTAACGCCAACACATCTGATGCTGACACGAAGGTCCGCCAGGCGTGGAGCTCGACATGTCCATATACATCCAGTTTGGTTTTAGTTGGAGCAGGTGAAGCCCAGAGAGGTGAAGTAACTTGCTCAGGATCACGTAGGAAGTATAAAACCATGATTTTTTTTGTTGTTGGTTTGTTTTCTGCTAAAGTGCTGTCTTAACAGTTTTAACTTTTCCTCACGCACACGTCCTGTGGGACACGGAGCGGGAGGAGCATGGTGAATACGTGGGCCTGCCACCCAGCGCCGTCAGCAGTGCCGTAAAAGCTGGGATTGGCTTCCACCTGACCCTGGCCCCAGACCCCCCTTTCTGTCTCTGGGAACCACCCCCGCCTTCCCCACTGAAGCATTCATGATGGGCCACCGCAGGCCCGCAGGGCTTATCACAAGGGAACCATGGCCATTTACTTGTAGAAGGGCAAACATGGGGCAGAATTAGTGCCACATTCACCAACCACAGGCCTGGCAACCCGGGCTTTTATCAAGAAGAAGTCAGCGCTGCACCTTGTTTTGTGGAGAAAGGGTAAATGAGAGATATTTTAAAATTCTTTTTTTCCCCTAGATTTAGACAGTCCATGATGAAATAAAGGGAAAAGAGACCAACTAATTTTGTCCAAGAAAAACCAATTTTCTTGTGTATGCTTTCATTAAAGATTTAGAAAACCCTACAAGAACACAAACAGAAGGACAGGGGACTCGGCCAAGAGAACCTCCCAAGGGTCCTGTGGATTATCATTTAAAGGTGGGGAGAGAGCATAACCTGGAGGTTAGCGGGGCCACCTTTGGAGTCAAAATTGGTTAGTCTGAAGCCTGAGTCTCCTGACTCCCTGCCAAGTGGTCTTGGGCAAAGCCCCCTCTCTGCGCCTGCACTGCCTCTCTGCCTTCTGTGAGACGGGGCTCTGGCGGCACGGGCCTGCCTCCCAGTGTGGTCCCGAGGCTTCGATGAGCAGGTGTACCCATGTTACCCAGCATGGCGCCAGGCACCTGGAAGGCACTCATAGATGTCAACTGCTGTTGCTCCCCTGTAGGGGGAGGAACTTCAGGATTTAGAACCCATTTTCCTGGTTTAGAATCCCCACCCCACTCCTGCTTATGGGTCAGGAACCTTTGGGTGTCACCATCACAGTGGACTCACCTGTAAAACTAGGCTTGCTCTGATTTCCACGAATGGCTGTGAGCATAAACGTGAGACTCTTTGTAAGCAGAGCAGCAGTGAATGCTGGTGGTTATCACAGAAGCAGCATTTGTTACCTGTGCACAGATGGATTGGGGTCTGGGGTTTGACTGTCACATGACAGGCATGGCCCCTGTCCTCAGAGCCTGAGGACTGGCGAGTGCCAGGCGTGAAGGTTCCTCACCCTTACTTTGGCGCCATGCTAGACTCCGAAAGGATGTCTGCATTCCCATTGCTGCTCCATTGTACAGATGAGGAAACTGAGGCCCAGAAAGGTAAAACCACTTACTCATGGCCACGAAGCCAGTAAGTGATCAGATTGGGTTTTGAACCTGGACCCATCTGACTCCAAAGCCTTTGCCTTCTCCACCAGATGTTACAGCGCTTGGACCCCAGTGCTTGGCAATGAATTATAAAGTGATAACTGTGTTTCTAAACAAATTCAGTGGTCGAGATTTAAAAATTCACACACATACTTCTCAGAACAAAAAATCCTGAAATTACTTCTTTGGAATCACGGAAGTGTATGTTTTAAGAAAAACCGTGCTGATCCCTATTGAAAAATGTCCACTTTTTGGCCGTGACTTTCTTTTCATCAGAGGCAGTGGCGAGCAAGGAGTGTATCCCCATGGACCAGTCTGTCGAACACTTACTGCCCAGCCTTTTAAGCCTCATATCAGATCCTGTGCCAAACGTGAGGGTTTTGCTTGCCAAAGCTCTGAGGCCGATACTATTGGAAAAAGGGTACTTGGGCCAGTTTTCTGAGCTTACAGATTTTAAACTTCATCGGACAGCAGCTGGCTTTTTGTCTTTCAGGAACTGTGGCAAATTGTGTGATATGGCATACTTCAGATTAATTATACAAATTGATATATTTTATGCATGTGTATGTGTCATGTGCTCAGTCATATCCCACTCTTTGCAACCCCATGGACTGTAGCCTTCCAGGTTCCTCCATCCATGGGGTTTGCCAGGGGAGAATACTAGAATGGGTGGCCATTTCCTACTCCAGGGAATCTTCCTGACCCAGGGATCAAACCCGAATTTTCTGTGTCTCCTGCATTGCAGGCAGATTCTTTACCTGCCGAGCCATCAGGGAAGCCCTACTTTATGCATAAAATGTTATTTATAAAATGACTAGTAGAATTCGATAGCTGTTTTATATTTACTAAACACATGCTAAAATACAAAACATTACATAGTCTTCTAGAAATGAGAGAAACTTTTATGAGTTTTAAGCTATAACATAGAGATTGACTTGAAGTCAATTTAAGCATTAACTATGATTGGGTTTTAATGGTGTTAATTTTGTTGTCAGTCAGATTTTAAGCCTGAACAGAGCCTAACATAAGATAGTTCAATTCTACACCAGGGGTACAGGCAAATGTCTTAAATCCTGCCCTGCATACACCTGTCTTGCCTCTTCTCTCCCATCCTCTGCCCTAGCTTGCCAGCAACCTGCCCTCCAGTTCCTGTGTTCTAAGTTGCCAATTCTTTTGTATTGGAGAGAAGAAAAGGTAATATTAAAAGATTTTTAGTCATAGTTTTAAAAATATGCCTACCTATTCTTAAAAGTTTGTGTTTACAAGTTGGGAGGTACTGTTTCATTAAAGCAATTTTATCACTTTAAAGGACTTTATGAAACATGGTTTATTGTCCTGAGATGTGGTTTTAAAAAAGAAAAAACCCAACCTAAACCAACATATGTTTTAGAACACAGTTCATGGCACCTGTGATTCAGTTTTGGGTCTTTTCTCTTTAGCGTATCTTAGAAATGCCAGTAACCCTCATCTTGGAGTTGTTGAAGAAACTGTCCTGGCTTTGCAGTCCGACCAGAACCAAGATCTTGCCTTTTTTGCTGCCCTAGAACCAAAGCGGGGGAACGTTACAGACCTCAGCGTGCTGCAAGAACAGAACTAACCCATCTGTGATCCCTGCAAGCTGGTCACTTCGAGCTTGGCATGTGCTGCTTACTGTACCTTGAAGGGGAGCTGATGGTGTCATACCTGCCTGGGGAGGAAAAGTTTCTGAGACTTTGATGTTGTGTCCTCCAGGACCCCTTTACCATCTGTGGTCACAGGGACTGCTCCTGAGACAGGCACTAGTTCCAGGTGACCCAGCACGCACTGTGCTTCTGTGCCCCTACATGCCGGATCAGGAAGTCTGTGCAAAGTCTGTAGAACCAGGTGGCTCCCTCCGTGACATCAGACTGTCTGGCAGCAGTTTGTTTTGTCTATTACCGATGATATTATTTGACCCCCAGTTACCTCCTCTCCAAAAATAAAGTACTTGACTAGAAGCTTTTACGTCTTCAATAGATTTGCGTATTTGGCTTCCGTCATGCTTTCCCATAAAATATAGTTTATGGTTTTATATTTTATTTTTAACTGAAATATTGTGCATAGGTAAATAACTCTTGACGGGAAGAAAATATATTAACGTAAGATTAGTCTCCTATCAGTGAATAGCACAAATACATCATTTAAATTTATGTTCTACTTGGAGTTGCTGCAAATATAGCCCCATTTTTTTTACTTGTGAAAGATGTGATAGTTAAATCTACTGAAGCATGATTTATGGCAATCTTTCTAATATTGTACTTTTGTTATAAATTGTACTCAGACCTTTTTCTCAGGCACTCACCCCTCCCCTTGCAGGAACCATTTCCATAAAGAGATATATTGGCCTTTAATAGAGACATAAAACAAAGATTTTCATTCTTATATGATCATATCATCATTTGTTTAAGAGATGGGATGGAAATTGATCACTGAGATGCATGGATTTGAACTTCATATCTGATGCTTTAGAATCTTAAAAACAGGAAAGCACAGTTCTGATCAGTCTATATAGTTGGCCACAAACACCAGTGATGTAGGGGCTTAAATTATGATACACTTCAAATCTAAGTATACAGGACTTAAGAGTTTGTGCTTTTAAAATCTAGACCAAGAGAAAGATGCTCTAGAATTTAAAAGGTTTTTGATTAATTAATAACTCAAGGTTCTAGAAACATCTGATTAAATTTTGCATGTATGCTGATGTTATTTTTCTTTTTTCTATTTTTATCTTCTCAAAGGTCAGCAGGAGGGGAGGAAGGAGCAGCTTGTTTGGAGTCCGAGAGCGGGCTGCAAAGGGCACATGAGTTATTTCCATTCTTCCCTGGGATCTTTTTCTTATCTTTCTTTTCTTTTTTTTTAAAATAAAATTTCTTGAGCTAATATTGAGTTTCCTGGTATACAGGATGTTTTCCCCTCTCCCAAATTCCACTGGGCTGACTCTAAAAAGAAAGAAAGGAATCCATACCGTGCCAAAGAAAATAAGGCACATGTATGAAAATTTCAAATTGTATTGATAACCCAGGAGATAGCATTTTGGCAGCCTCAGGAAAGAGTGACTCAATACATTGGAGACTACATACTAAGAGAAAAAAAAATCAGCCTATCTTATATTCAGTGCTTGCTCAGAGTAAATAGATGGAGCTATTGTTTTGCTTCAGTAACAAGCAAATTTTAATTTTTTTATTGCCTAGAAATTGAGATTGTTGTGTTGTTGAAATCTGTTGATCCAGCAGCAATGTAGAATTATTTAGCTGGAATGTTGTATTCTGTGCAGAGCTTCACTTTCCATTAAAGAAAACAAATTCAGTTTGTGTTATGATGGGTAGGATTTGCCTGCCAAATCAGCTATGCTGGTAGACATTGGTCAAGACTCTTTGGTGAATAACCTAACCTTTAAATTTTCGGTTTATAAGTGTTAAAATTTTCTATAGTTTTATATGAATGCCTTTCCAGTGCAAAGATTTTTTTTTATGACTGTCACTTCTCCAAAATGTATGTTTAAAGCTCACATTTTATTCTTATTTTGTAACAACTGAGATTTTTTTTTTCAGATTGTTCATGTTGCCCTTGCTGTTCTCTCCTGTAGGTTTCTCATCAGTTTAGGTCTTTACATGTTAGGTCACAGATGCAGCGTTGAGTGTCTGTGACCTGACTCAGCCTCCTCTGGCAATATAAGGGAAAAGCACAAGCTGGTTTCTCACCAATAGGGCTGCCTTGAAAGGCATCTCAGCAACAGAACTGTCTCAGACCGTCCCTAAGTGGACACGTCCTTCACTGTCCTTCTCATAGTGTTTTCTTTGGCACTTTCTCACTCCAAGAATCCCAGAGCGTTTTCAGCATTGATGGATTTCAGTGCAGATTTGCAAATTTTCGGGAGGGTCCATCTCCCACTTCCGGGGTGGCCCAGTATCTTTTATTCCCGCCCCCCCCCCCCCTCACTGTCAGGTTGGGTCCAGATCTGCTTGAAAGGAGTCATATTTCTGCAATGTTGCCTTTTTCATTCATGCTCGAAATATGATTTTAAAGCATGACTAAAGACTGCACTTTACAACTCTCCATAGAGGATGCATGCAAAGATGATTTAGAGCGTTATTCAGGCATAATTCCTACAGGTAGTTGGCCCCGAATTGTGCAATGACTGTATTTTAAACAGACAAGGAGAAGAGGCCACAGCTTTCCCGCTTAAAGGACCTGACGTTCAGCTGGGAAGGGGAGCTGGGGGTATGGCGCCGGGGCGCACGCCTCGTGGTGATGCCCCTGTATTGATCTCAGTAAATCTCCCCCCTGTTTTAGAAGCGCGCGTGGCCATTCCCCTTATTCAAGAAGCTGCACCGGGTCTATGGGAAGCCCGCTTTGGTTAACTGCTGCCCATCGGCCCACCGCGGGGAGGGGGGCTCAGCTGTCCGGGGGAGGGGCGGGGGCGGCAGTGACGCGCGACCACTTCGTGGAGCGGGGATGACGCGCGCAAGACGGGGCCGAGCGGCTGGGGCCCGGCGGTGGGTTATGCGGAGGAGGGCGGTGGCGGCAGCGACGCCGCCGGGGGGCACCATTCGCCCCAACCCCGCTGCGGCCTGGCCGCCCACGCCGAGGGCGGACTCGGCCGGCCCGCGGCCCCGCTCCCTGCAGCTCTGGGCCGGCAGCCGCGGCCGGAGCCCCATCGGGGACCCGCAGGCCGTGAACCACGCGACTGACGTGGTTCCGGATGTCTTCGCCATGCGGGTGCTGCTGGAAGATTCCGGGGAGATGTTCCGACTGACAAACTGCCGCAGCAACATGACGGTGCGGGAGCTCAAAGAGGAGCTGGACCTAACAGCCGGCATCCCCTTCAACCTGCAGCGGCTGCAGTACCTGGACCAAGGTTGCCCTTGCCCGACCCCTTTCCTGGCCACGTGTACTCCTCTCCACCCCGGGTGCCAAGTCCCCTCTGAACCTACAGTGGGGGAAGGGAAGCCGGCCCAGATGAGGACCCCCAGATGGGTCAAAACAAATCCCACACCATGAAACCCCAGGTGGAAAAGCCAGTCCTGGCCACCTAGGGACTTCCCAATTCCAGAAAAGCCGGGTTCATGTTAGGCCTCAGATCTCCAGGCAAACTCTGTCCATAGCAAGACCCTGATCAGTAGCAAATCCTCCAATCTCAAAGCCAGCTGTCTAGTCCATCCTGCCAACCTGAGTCAACCCGGTCCCAGTCAGAGCCCCCAATCCCAAACCAGATGCTGTCAACCCCTCTAGGACCCTCAGACACCCAGACCCTCAGACTCCCATGTCTTCATCAGGGACCCGAGTCCCAAAGCCGGCAGGGCCACACAAGACCTCAAGCCTGAAACATTTGTCCTCAGCAGGACCCCACAAACCTGCTTATGTCAGGCCCCCAAATGGAGGCAAGCTTCTAGTCTCTGTGCTGCGCTGTGGGCCACCAGGACCCCCAATCCGCCATCCAGTTATATCCATGCAAGGACCCCAAGCCCAGAACAAGCTTGCCCAAAACTTACCCCAAATCTCCAGGGTTAACGTGGCTACTTCAGAACCCCGGATTCTTTGGCAAAGATGTCCACACAAGGACACTAGAGCTTGGAACAAGCCCTGCTCACTTCAGGGCCCTCAAGCCAAGAACCAACCTGCCCAAGAATGAACCCCCTAATCCCCAGACTAGCCAAGTGACCATGAGAACCCTGAATCCTCCAGCAACTGAAGAACATTAGAGCCTTAAACAAAGTGTGCGCCTCAGAACCCATATCTCTCCACAAACCATACTCATGTTTGAACCTCAAATACCATCCCCAAGGGACCCCTGCTCACAACAGAAACCTGAATCCCAGAGCAGATGGGCTCAATTCTGAGTCCCTCATCTCCGCCTAACCAATCAAGCATCTGAACCCTACTCCGTCAGCCATCTCTGTCTACATAAAGATGTCAGACACCCAAATGAACTCTGCCCACATCTGACAGCTCACTGTGACTACACCAGAAGCCCAGGCCAAGAGTCTTCAGAAGAGCTCTGAGGCATGAGACAGATTCCGCCCACAACAGGACCCCAAAGCTCAAGTCCAGTGTACCCATATCTGAACCCCAAACCTCCATGAAAATCATGTTTGCACTCCAAGGTTTAAGCCAGCCATATGTGTGTAAGGAAGACAAAGCTCAAAACAAGCCTTGTCCACATAAGGACCCCCCCAGACTCAAAGCAAACTCTGCTTGTGTTTGAAACCCAAATCCCACATCAGCCTTAGTCACATCTAAACTCCAAGTTCAAGACCAAACCCTGCCTATATCAGGACTCTGAATCTCATAGCAGAACCTGTCGCCACTGAGACACCTGAATCCCAGGGCAGACCTGTCCGATTCCTCACCCCTATGCTATCCAGGACCTCCAAATGCCAAAACAAATCCTTCCCACAGAAGGACTCCACATCCCAGAACAGACCCTTCCCACAGCAGGACCCCCAGGCAGAGCGCAAACTTTGCCTCCATCAGAACCCCAAATCTCAAAACAAACCCTGTCCACATTTGAACCTCAAATACTGGCACTGACCCAGTCCGTATCAGGACCTCGAATCTCAAGCTGCCTCCTTGTCCAGGTCAGGAGCTCAAAGTTAGCCCAACCGGAATCAGAACCCAGCACCCAAAAAAGCTCACTGTGACTGACTCAGGACCCCAAGGTCTCCTGTTCAGATAAACCCCACATAGGAGAAATCCGGTGGAGAGCAAGGGCCCAGAGCACATTTTCTCCCCCTAGGGTCTCCTTCCCTCTGCTCGTGGGTCTGGCTGTCCCCATCCCATCCCTATGATATTTAGAATATGAGAGCAGGATCAAAGCCCCCCAACCTCCACCATCTCCCCACCTGCTTGAAATCAATGCAAAAACAAGAAAACAAAGGTAGAAAAAAACTCTCTGGGCTGATGCACAGAGAAAGTGAATAGCCAGTGGCGCAGAGAGACTGCAGTTATACTGCAGGGGCCGTGAAGCAACAGAGATGAAGACTTGAAGCAGGCTGTCTCCCCGAGCTCCAGGCTCCCAGACATTGGCCTTCTGGGGCTCAGCTTCCTGATCTCTAAACCACAGCCCCATTGGCTCTGGAATCCTCAGCACTGTTTCCTTCTTTAGGCAGAAACGACTCCAGAAACTCAGAATGCATACTGAAGACCAAAGTCCTTTCCTTTGCCCTCTTGGATATCGGTTAAGCATTTTTCATGATGTATTTGCTTTGCTAGAGCAGTATTTGAAAGATGCTTAAGAGCATTTTTGAGGTTTTATGTGGAAAGAAAGGTACCTGGATTTAATGTGTTAAAAGTGAACTGAGCTATGGAAGTACTTAGTAAGAGTTCCAAAGCAAGTAATTCGAGAATTATGTGTCCTGAACTGCAGATGTCTGACATCCCTCCTGTTAATTTATTTTCACCCATGAACTATGCCGAGTGATACATTCAGGAAAGCTAAGAGGGAAAGAAAGAGACGAAGTGGCTTAACACTGATGTCACAATCCTGTTAGTCAGCAAGCACTTAGCAACTGTTAGAAGCCTGACCTTTCTTGCGGTTGCCATCCTTACTGTTGACGGCAAACAAGAAAGAAGGTATACCACGGTGATGGAAGAAATTTGGGCTTCTGCCAACTATCAGCCTGACGCCTCTTTACCCACCTCAAAGGTTGCCAGGGAGGATCAAATGAGATAATGTGTGTGAAAACCCTCAAAGACTTAACTCTAAAAGGGGGTGAGCGTTCTCCTGCAGGCGGGTCGCCTTCCTACGTCTGTTGTCAACTCTAATCATTTATTTAGCGGGTGATAATTAGTATTTGTCTGAGCTGAAGGCAGTTGCTGCCTGCCTGTAAAAGGAGAATGTGCTCTGATTTCCTCTATGAGCTGTTTAGCTTGTGTGACTTGTGCTCGTCTTTCTCGGAGAAACACAGCCTTGCTCCAGTTTTTTCAAAGTTGTTAGGAAGTCGTTGAGTTGTCTTACTTAGACTAATTACTGAGTTTCCTCAGTATGAGAACCACAAATAAGACCCTAATTAACAGATTTGCTAATCGCTATTCCACATTTCCGTCCACCAGCTGGAGTTGCCGGGAACCAAAGAGCGCCAACAAAGTCTAGAGTGAGGGGGGTAGGGCATCCAGGAGAGGCAGCGCTGGTTGGAGTCCTGGTGTTTCCATTCACTGGCCACGTGAGCCTCCCTCTGCTTCTGCGGCAAATGGATCAGCCAAACCTGGCTTGTCATGAGGATTAAAGAATGTGGGTCCTGAGTCCTGGCACTTAGTAATCACTCAATCATGAAACCAAAAATGCTCACAAATTCTACTCAGAATAAATGATAATCCAACCTGGGCAGAGTTGAGACATTCCATTCTAAGGTCTGCTTATTGGAAAAAGCAGATTAATCCTTCAGCCAGGTTACAGGTGGCCAGATAGGAAGATGTGTGTGTATGCATTTCCAAAGGTAAAATGAAATCAACTTCATTTTCTTGAAATGTTCTATAGTCCTCTTCTACTAATTCTGACCGTCTTCCCCCAAGGGTATGAGTAAGGGGCAGTTTTGGGTGATGACACATAGACAGGATGTTCTTCCATACCAAGTCCAAATTATGGTGGGTGTCGACGTGGAAATGCTCATATTACCATATGGTCTCCACTGGGGCAATTTTGTCCCCCTGGAGGCCATCTGGCAATGTCTAGAGACATCTCAGTGGTCACACCTAGCTGAGCGGTCTGCCCCCACCTTGCGGGTAGAGGCTAGGAATACTGGCCAGAAATACTGGCCAGAAACCCTACAATGTCCAGGAAGACCCCACAGCAGATAGTCATTTGGCTGCAAGGGTCACGAGTGCAGAGGTTGAGAAATGCTGCCATAGGCTATAATTGGAAAGATCCAACAATTTTTTCTCATTATTACCTCTTTAAGCTAACTGATGACAACATTAACAAGAATCAGTATTTTAGTTTAAAGGTATATAACCTGTATAACCACATTGTGCCCTATCTGTAATGTACGGTTACTTTAAGTAGTTCTACTTAGAGTTGGCCTCCTGAAATGACTTTTGTTCACTTCACGTATTTTTTGTGTGTGTGTGTGATGGGTCAAGTTATAATTGGGCTTCCCAGGTGGCACTAGTGGTAAAGAACCTGCCTGTCAATGCAAGAGACATAAGAGGTGTGGTTTGATCCCTGGGTTGTGAAGATCCCCTTGCAGAAGGGCATGGCAACCCACTCCAGCATTCTTGCCTGGAGAATCCCACGGACAGAGAGCCTGACAGGCTACAGTTCATAGGGTGGCAAAAAGTTGGACATTACTGAAGCGACTTAGCATGCATGCACGCAAGTTATAATTATAGAATTTTATGATTTATTGCTTTTTTTGGTGGGGGGGAAGGTTTGGCTTCTCTTTGAGTTAAGCCAAATTTATTTTCTAAAAAATATCAGCTACCACAAACAGACATACGTGGTTTTATCAAATGAGACTCATGCTCAAGTGTCTCAAAATATTTTTGTGATACCCAAATATCACAAATAAGATAATCTCTTAACTAAACCAGTGTAACAATTTATCTTTAATGCCTGATTTTTCTTTTTAAAGATAAAAATTATTCCCCATAGGAATTTTGATGGATGATGCTACGCTGAAGTTCCACGACGTTATTCCTGGTGGAATTATTTCATTATGTATCTGGCACTATGATGGATGGACGGAGCTGGTTTTGGCGGCTGTGGAAGGGGATTCCAGTAAGGTGTTTTCATGCTTCTTTAAATGGATATTATACTTCATGAAGCAACTGTAGGTTGTGTGCGTGTGTGTGTAGGGGGAAGTTGCTTGTTCTTTATTGTGAATATTTGTTGAAAGTTGCAGAGTAGAGAGAACAATAACAATCACTTATCATCATGATCAAATTGAGTGTTTCCATTTGTTGTTTGGCTTTGCGGTTTCGCCCTGTCCACGGACTTGTGGTTTGTAACCCAGTCACTCCACCCCGAAAGGAACCAGGGCAGCCCTTTTTCTATTCACGTGTATATTTGCGAGCATTCTAAGTCTCTTCAGTTGTGTCCGACTCTTTGCCACCCCATGGACTGTAGCCCACCAGGCTCCTCTGTCCATGGGATTCTCCAGGCAAGACCACTGGAGTGGGTTGCCCTTCTTTTCTCCAGGGGAGCTTCCCGACCCAGGGATTGAACCTGGGTCTCCTGCATTGCAGGAGAATTCTTTACCACTACCGCCACAAGTATATTTGGTAAAGTTGAAAACCTAATTTAACCGCGGAGAACGCCAGATAAGTTGGAACTGCGTGGTCCAGAGAATTCGACGCTGCAAAAAAAAAAGTCCTGGGAGTCTGCCCCCACCTGACAGGGAGAGGCTTGGAAACACAGAAGGCGCCCTGACCCTTGGCCGGGTGTTGAGCAGGGCTCTGGTGTGGGGCAGGGGTCAGGGCGGGTGGGGTTCGGGAGTGAGACAGGAGGAGGAAGTGTCTACCCAACAGTGAAGGTGAATCATTCAGACACAGGGGGCGAGTGCAAGTTCTTTGTGGAAAATAAATTCGGGGGAGAAGTTAAGAATTTGTGGAGGAGACAGTTCACTTCTGGCTGGGATGCAGATGGGGGGGTGGTGGTTGGGATGGGGTTCTGGGGAGCGGTGGTGGGCTCTAGGAAGGCAGGGCCAGGACCCAGCAACCCTGCTGCCCTGGAGCAAGAGCCTTAGACCCCACCACCCCCCACCCCCGTCAATGTTTGCACAACTCTTTGGTTCCTTCTCTGCATTTCTCCCCCTCTTTTGCCTTCCCTGGATTCCTCTCAGGCTGTGTCCATTCTGGGTTCTCTCTTGCTCTGAATGTGGGGTGAGTCCCCCCACCTTGTCTTGGGTCAGAACTGTCATCACCCCCCCTGCATCAGGAACTGGGTTCCTCTCTGTTGGAGCCATAGCCTTCCTCTGGGTCTCAAAGCTTTAATTCTCCACGAGAAGATTCTGTCCCAGGGCTGTTATTCACCTGAGAGCAGAGTTCAGAGTGTCCTGAATGTTAACGGAGACAATGGGCCTAAGAATAGACCGGAAGGCCAGGGTTCGTCAACTCTCCCTAGGAGTGCGTGCTCCCTTGGAGGTGGGGGGAGTTTGGTGTCGGTGGGGGTCTTCCTTCAGGGCTGCAGCCCCCTTCCTCTGGACACCCAGAAAGCTATTTTTCTCTCTTCAAAACATGGACAGGAAGAATTTCCTGCCTCCCGAGCCTGTCTGGTGGTAAATTTGTGTTTCCTGGACGTGCAGAGAGAGCTACCCGTGGCTGCTTTCCAGCTTCTCCCTCCCCTAGGGGCTGCAGTCCCCCCATCCCACCCACCCGGCCTGTCCCATCCCCCTCCTGCACGTGGCTTCCTAGCTGACTTCCCCATCAGGGTGTCCCGGGACCCACCAGCCAGGTGCCTGTATGCTCCTGAAGTCACTGCGACTCACGCGTGTAACTGTGTGTCTCGTCCAGCTGGCTTGCCTCGGCGTTGCCGAAGACACTTTCTACCGAACTGCAAACTCGGGGCGTTTTGACGACAGGCAGTGGAAGAAGTGGATTTCCCAGAGAGCATTCGTGGCCTTGTATGTTGCCTCACACAGGGGTCACTCGGAGGCTGTGCAATACCTTCTAGAACATGGTAAATCTCATAGCGGCTGGGTATGTTCACGTGGTTGGTGTTCAGTCACGAAGTCATGTCTGACTGCAGCCTCATGGACTGCAGCACACCAGGCTTCCCTGTCCTTCACCATCTCCCAGAGCCAGCTCAAACTCATGTCCATTGAGGGGCTTTCATGGTGGCTCAGATGGTAAAGCGTCTGTCTGCAATGCAGGAGACCTGGGTTCAATCCCTGAGTTGGGAAGATCCCCTGGAGAAGGAAATGGCAACCCACTCCACTATTCTTGCCTGGAAAATCCCAGGGACAGAGGAGCCTGGTAGGCGACAGCCTATGGGGTCACGAAGAATCGGACACGACTGAGCAGATCAGCTTCTTCTTCACGTCCATTGAGTATGTTCAAGAGTAGGGGTCTTTTGTGGGCAAGGGGGACAGAGTGGCTTGTCCTCCTGGTTCACTCAGTAGTGGTTTCCTGGACCTAAGTTTGTCAACCACCAATTAAGGCCCCCATTCGTCACTGTCTGAGGGGTCTGAGGACATGCTAACCAGAGGCTGTGTTGCCTCTCTTGGTCAGGGCTCAGGAAGACAGAATTTTTCAGGACACCAAGTCACAGGGCTTCCTGGTTCATAGTGTTCAACCAGACCCTGCTGGGGATATTCCCAACCCATCTTGTTATTTCTTCCCCTCCTGGGGTCCTCTTTCTGCCCAAGGAGTCTAGCCCCATGCTGACATCCCTCCCTTAGTAGCTGGCAAGCTGGCCAGTCTCCTTTCTCTAAGCCTTTGAATTATTTGTCCCATACCCTTGTTTTCATCTCTCCTCCACCAAAGGGCAATTACTTTCTCGGTCCACAGACACAGAAGCCTTAGCCTGGCTTGTCTCCCAGTTAAAGGGCTTTGCCTGAGCTTCTTTCCTGGATGTAGAGTGTTTTGGGGAAAAGAGGCCTGGGATTGAGGTGCAGACCATTCAAAAACATGAGAAAACCGTGTCAGACATCCCAGGCCACCAGCTTCCTCCAGAAAAAGAACATAGTATTTGATCAATGGTTTCCCAGGTGGCTCAGTGATAAAAGAACCTGCCTGCCAATGCAGGAGGTGCCTGTTTGATCCCTGGGTCAGGAAGATCCCCTGGAGAAGGGAATGGCAACCCACTCCAGTATTCTTGTCTGGAGAATCCCATGGACAGAGGAGCCTGGTGGACTATAATCCATGGGGTTGCAAAGAGTCAGACATGACTGAGCATGCACACACTACTTGGGGCTCAGGAGGGGGCTTCATCTGAGGATCTCCCACATCAACTTGGCTCCAGATTAGACCCCCTCTTCTCAGCCTTTGGCCTTGATTCCAGGCTGTCTGTGCTATTTCCCCCACTTTCACCAACCAAGCTGGGAAAACATCTCTGATGCTTGGGCAGGATGACAGACCGTGTGTGTGTGATGGGTAGGGGTTTTTGTGATGGTCCTCTCCTCTCTCTGCACTTCTCCTGTTGTAGGATGAAATATGGGCTTTTCACAGCCCAGCAGTCCTTTAAGCTCATAAAAAGTCATTTTCACTCTGATGGAACTGTGATGTATTTGAAAGCACCAGTTAAAAAATTACAGCCGGCTTGGCAAAGTTTTCTGTCCTTTGCAGACAGTAGCTGTAAAGAGGTGCTGGGGCCAAGGCAGGGTGTTGTGAGAACCCATTTAAAACTTTACCTCACTGACCAGTCATAGCTCATAAAAACTGGCTACCGAAATGTCAGCTGCGTGTAATTGAATTGCCTTGTTCTCTCTGTCATGGTATTTGTTACCCAGAATTTGATTCAATTCAACAAGTCCATATTGGACACCTGTCATTAGCCCACCCATCTGCAGGAGGCAGTGAGGGATTCAATCCAAGTGAAGTCCATCCATGAGTCATGCTGCCTGGCCTCTGACATCTTCCAGGGGCCTGTCTTCTCCAGGCATCACCCAGGCTATGTGCTGGGGATGAAAACAGCAATGATCAAAACAAGAGTGTTTTCTGCCCATGTGGAATTTATGAAGGGAAGTCAGCAAATTATTACAAATAATTAATTCCATGGTCAGTCGTGCGCGGAATGTTCTGGAGACGCAGAACATCTATTGAACAAACGCAGGGGCTCCCCAGGTGTCTCAGTGATAAAGAACCCTCCTGCCAACACAGGTAGATGTAAGAGACGTGGGTTCGATCGTTGGGTTGGGAAGATCCCCTGGAGGAGGGCGTGGCAACCCACTCCAGTATTCTTGCCTGGGGAATCCCATGGGCAGTGGAGCCTGGCGGGCTGCGGTCTGTGGGGTCACAAAGAGTCAGACACAACTAAACTGCACAGGGGGATTCTTGGGGAGGAGGACTAAGGAGCGTTTTCCTGAGGAAGTGAATGAAACCTCAAGAAACACAGGGTTATCCCAAGGGCGGGGGGGCGGGGGGGAAGGATGAGAGTGTTTTTAGCAAAGGAAACAGCATGTGCGAAGATCCTGGGGCAAGGTTAGAGAGCAGGCGTGTTGAAAGGATAAAGCTAGAAGGCTGGTTTAAGTGAAGCATGGAGTGGTGGGGGAGGAAGATCACTGAGTTGGGGGATGAGTAATGCTGGAGTCACAAGGGGAGGTGGGTAGGACAGAGCAGTGAAGACCTAGAATATCGCCCCAGGGATTTGAGTGAAGATTGTAGAAAGGTCTTTGTCTGCCACCAGAGGAGCCTGGAGGTGAAGCAGGGCTGGATGCTGGGTGGGGGGGAGACAGGTGTGACCCCTCCGTGGCACTGGGTACTAGGGTGGGGAGCAGTTATGCATTCTCCCAAGCATTCCTTGCCAAACCTTGGCTCCTCCCCGTGAGTCTCTTCTTGAACAGATTTCTGAAGGTGGGCTCTGGCCAGCGGGGTGGCCCTCCCTGAGCCCACTCTTTTATTTCCCAGGTGCCAACTGTCAGGGAAGATCCCCCGTGGGCAGGACGCCCCTGCATGTGGCTGCAGCCATGAGCCGGCTGGACTGTATCAGCCTCCTGCTCAACTATGGGGCCTCCATCAACGACAAAGACGCCAAGGGGGAGACGCCCATGTCCCTCGCCCGCCGCCTGAATCGCACCCAGAGCGAGCGACGGATGTTCCTCTTCTACTGGCTGGTGAAGATGGGGACTAAGGACCCGCTGGACCCTGTGGTGAACAGGGCTTTCCAGAGAGTCAAGGCCGGGTTCGGCACCAAGAAGAAGGGCAAAGTGTAGGAACGTTTGCATGTTGACACTGACTCGGAGTAACTTTCCCAAGTTCAGGTCCATGGTGACCAGTGGCCGTGGGTGAGCAGAAATTCAGGGAAACATGGCAATTAATCTGAATCAGACACGAAATGATCTGTCCTGTTTGCAGATGACATGGGGGAGAATACTGATAGAAGTGGGTGACTTTGTGTTCATTTCCTAACCCATTATGGACCAAACAGACTCCCACGCCAGCCTTTAATTTCGAGCTATTTGTTCATTATACCCAGTAACGCTGCTTGGGGTGATGTGGACCAATTACCTCCTCTCCCATCCGGACACCATCTAATGCATCCACATAATAGGGGTAATGGACACAACGAGAATAACTCTTGTTGTTATGGTACAGAACCAGTGCGGGCAATTGTCGCCGGGTGGTGGGCAGTGCCACCTGTGAATTCCAGCTTGTTAAATTCATGGAACAAGATGCTCCCTGAGCTCGCAATGTTCCAGAAGTTTTTCTGAGCCTTTCTGGAGGGGTCTGCTGCCTGAGTCAGAGGTAGGGTTGGGGTGAGAAGCTAGGCTGGCCAGGGGACATCCAAGTTTGGTTGTCCACAAGGGGCACCTGGTTACTCTTGGTGAAAGGGGGTGAGTTGACATTGGATTTAAAGCAGACCAGTGCAAAAGATGATGATGAGCTCATAAAGGAGAAAGTTTGAACTGGAAGCTTCTTTTTTTCCTTTTGTCCCATCCCCAAAGGTCAAAGCACCCTCCTCCCCCGCATTAGCTTTCTCCTTTCTTGCTAGAACTGGGGGAGCTCCAGCATCCTTACTAGAGGGCAGTGTCTGTGCTGGACTCTGGGTTCAACAGCCCACAAAAGCTGCCATGTGAGTGATGAGCCGGGTGTGGGAGACCGAGGGAGGGGGTGAGGACTGGAGCAGACTGACGTGTCCCCCAGCCCCCAACCCTTGCCTGAAGAAGATGCTGCTACTCAGCTCCAGCAGTAAGTGAGCCAAAGGCAGCTAGAGCTTTCCAGAGCTGGGAACCCAGCTTTTTAATCTAAATCCTGATTTTTAAGTGTTGCCTTGAATTAGCCCCTGGAGAAGGGAAAGGCTACCCACTCCAGTGTTCTGGCCTAGAGACTTCCATGGACTGTATAATCCATGGGGTCACAAATAGTTGGACAGGACTGAGCGACTTTCACTTGCTTTTCTTTTGAATTATTTTAAGATCAGCATATGGTACAAAAGGAGAAGAAGATTTGAGGCACGTGGATGGGACTGCCCAGCATCATCAAACTAACTTGTTTCACCTGGGAGATGGGTGGAAACAATCCAGGACTCCTCGGACTGTTCCCTGGCTCCAAAACCTCAGGGTGGGAATGGCCATGGTTGTTCCTGGGTGATGCTGTCCACTCTTGCACCCACAACCATATGTGCCTCTCTGAAGCCCTGATGCAGTTTCCAGGGCCAGTCTGTGTGGCAGCATACCTCTACTGTTGCAGTTCTGTTATGTGCTTTTGCAGATTTTTTTTTTTTTTTTTTTTTTGGTCTCAGACCTGAACTTAGTCATTTTCCCAGGAACTCTGGTTCTGAAGTTCTGATTTTTAAGGAGCTAGAAAATGGCACTGCATCCCAGCTGCCCTCCTCTCCAACTTACATCCCAAGAACTGGAACTGGATTCAGCTTTTACATCAATGGGCCGCATTTCCTGCTGTCTTTGCAAGGAAGATCCGTGATGATGATGTGGCTTTACGCTTGGTGGACATGGCTGGACCCAGCTCAGCAATTTGTTTGACAAATAATAGTCGGGGGAAAAAAATACAGCTCGGCATCAACTATGTCAAAACAGAGATCTTGTTTTTGGCAGATGTTCCCCAAAGTCAATAGGCAGATATTAAATAGCCTCACCCAGTGGGGTCAGTTCATTTAGCTAATGAGGTGTGTTGGCAGGGGGACCTGGGCACCCTTTTAACTTAACAAGTGGTGTGACTCACAGTCATGGGTTTTCCGGGAGCTCTGCTCTCCTGTCTTTATTGTTACGAGAGTCAACTGCCTGACACTTGTCCCCAAAACTTTGGAGGGAAGCCCTCTGTCTTCGTTGCCCCCAGTTCAGCTAAACACTTGGCCAGGAACTGAACAAGTTCCAAACTGTGATGACATTTTGCTCGGTCCGTGGCAGGGTCATTAAAACACTCCTGTAGGTCCTGGGGACTCTTCCTTTCAGACAGTCTTAACATCCGAGCTGTTCTAATAAGCTTGCATTGCCTTGTCAATAAAATTTGTCCACAGCCTCAGAAGAGTTGATCTGCAACTGGGTGCAATCATGTTACACTTTGCATATAATTTTATTCAACATTTGAAGTTTTGTGGGGTCATACTTTGGAGCCAACAGAATTTTTTTTTTTTTTAAGGGGTTGATCTTAAACATTTGTGTAGGATCCTGAAATCCTTTTAGGCCCAAGGTACTGGGGGTGGTCTTTGGTGGTGAAGCAGTGGTGGTCTGCCATCGACCAAGTGGGCCTCACTTCTGTGTGGAGAGTGACTTGCTTCTTCGGAGTTATGGTCAATCGCCTGGGTATAATATCCATCTCCCTACTCTGTATCTCGTATCTCCTGTGAGGCTGAAGTCAACTGCCAGAGTGGGATTGCTGCCAGGGTAGTGTGGACGTAAGGGCTGGGGGTCAGAGTGGACCCTAGGTTGCATCTTGGTGGCTCTGCCCTGTGGCCTTGGATTACTGGAGGATGGAGGGTGCTCATGGTGTCTGGTCCCCCAGGTTGTTGGGAGGGGGCGTTCGATACATGCCGGCTCTTCTCAGCTGAGAGCTTGGTGCAGACTGGCTAAAGTGAGCTCCATCATTGATGACTGAGGAGAGGGAAAAGAGAAGAAACATTTAGGACCATTTAGAGCCATTTCTTGGGCTCTCAAGTTCTAATCAGCAAGAGACAGATGATCTCTGAGCTCAGGCCCCCCATGGAAGAGCCGTCCAATGTCCTCGGATCCCTCAGCGCCTCCTGACCAGAGGGGACCCTGCTTGCCAGGGTACCTTATGTCAGCCAGGAAAACAGCCGTTGGGACCAGGGGAGCCTCTCTGGAGAGGTGGATGGCTCACGCTAAGCACAGCTGTGCCCCCACCACATGGTCACTCGCCTTGGCCGCCCCTCTGGGCCCCTCGCGGCCGAGTCACTGCCCGGGTCTCGGGCATGTGGCCATCGTTCTCCAAAGACTCGGCTGAGAGGCTGCATGCCTGGGTTCTGCCCACCGGGTCCTCCCCCCATCTCTGGTCCGAACGCTCCCTTCTCTGCAGCGTAGACATGACCAGACCTTCCCAGAGAAGCGGAAGGGCACCCACTGGTGGCGCCTCAGGGGACTTTAAGTGCCTCTGGTGCTGCAGTGAATGCAATTAAAACACAGGGCGAGAAAGTTATTCCCTTTTCAAATCACTCTCAATCCTTTAAATTCCGACAAGAGGAAAGTCTCCACTTGGTGTTAGAGGGCCGGGTCCCCCGGATGGCCCCCCAAATACCCTTTTTATAAGATACACAAATAGGGCCACCTTCTGCTGGTAGCAGTGTTTTGCTAGGATTTAATGACACCGTCTTGTTTTCAGTGTATCTGTGGGCCAGGATTCTATTTTTATTTCCACTCCTAACTAGTGTATGACCTCAGGGCAGACTGTCACCTGTCCAGGGACCCTCATCATCTCTATCCCAACCTAGTCGTGATAACCAATGTGGATGGTCCTCAAAAAGGGCCTGGGCTGGCTATCCTGCAGGTCCCACTTAGGATTTCCCTCTGCTATCAGATGGGTGGCCTTGGGCCAGGCAACTTCATGTCTCAGAGCCTCCGTTTCTTCTTCCATAGCGTTCGGGCAATAAAACCTGCCCCCACTATCATGGGAGGGGTGCGATGCCTGACACAGAGCAGATGCTTGAAAAATAGTATCCATTATTACTAATACTGCTACCACCACTTAATTTGCTTAAAATGTTTACTCACTGGGGAATCAATACACTCCCCATGTGCAAAAATCCTCATAAATTTTCAGCAAACCTTATACCATGAGAGTCTCCATCCAGAACTAATCATTCCCAGGGTGGGAGAGAGAATTTCTCTCCAACTTTGCTGATTTTAGTATTAAGTACAAGGCTTCCGCAGCAAACTTCTAGAAAATCTTTCTGAACTTAAAACTTCAGGGCCAGTTCTGCAGGAGAGAGAGAGGAAAAAAAAAAAAGAAAAGCTCTAGCGTAAGAGGAAAATTCCAGCCTCTCAGCTCAGCCTCCGCAGTGTGTCCTGACTACGCCAGCACCCAGCAGAGGGCACAGAAACGCATTAACATTTAGAAAAACGCTGCTGTTTGTGCTCATTGGAAATGTCAGAGCTGCGGCAGCCTGTGCCCCACTGGAAACTCGAGAGTGGGGCTCAGCCACGGGCACTTTCAGATGGCTTCTCAGCCTGAACCCCCGAAATTGTCCATCAAACACACATTTTGTGAGGAGGACATTCATTGTGTCCAGCGAGGGTCCGTGGATCCCCCCAACCTGGGCGAGTAACAGAAAGGACAGCCACCCAAGTTGTCGAATCAAATCAGTACCTCCACGCAACATCCTTTCTACCTCTTGGGTGGGTGCGCACTGTCAATTTGCAATTTGGAAAAAATGGTAAACAGTGGTCCCATCTGGTGGTGCTGTGTGCGTGTGCCCCTGTGTACGCCAGAGTTTGGCTCACAGCTCCCTCTAGTGTTGCAGAGGGGAACTTGCAGCATCCTACAGCCTTGCCAGATTACAAGGTAGGTATTCAGAAGGTCCACCTACCCCACTGTGGAAATCTCCCCTACAGAGACAAGAAGATCCTGATGGTGGGCAAGATTGAGGGCAGGAGGAGAAGGGGGCAATAGAGAACGAGATGGCTGGATGGCATCACCGACTCGATGGATATGAGTTTGAGCAAACTCTGGGAGATGGTGAAGGACAGGGAAGCCTGGTGTGTTGCAGTCCATGGGGTCACAAAGAGTTGGACACGACTGAGCACCTGAACAGCGACATAGACGAAGCCCCCTACCCCCCCCCCACCCCCGTCCATGATGAGATGCACCTGTCAGTGTTCATGGCAGCTGTTTCTGGTGGCAAGTGCCTGGAAACCCTCCAGGTGCCCACCATGGGGGAAGGATGGTGCCACATTTTGCAGCTATTAAAAAAACAACAACAACAACAACAAATGATTTGATGTCCAGACCAAGGCGTGGCCATGAGGGTTGTCTGTGATGTGTCATTACGTGAAAAGCAGCAAGTTGCCCAGGAAATGTGTATGAGCTCATGGACTTAGAATCCTAAAAAGGAGGTGAATCCAATAAACGTGGACATAAATTTATTTGAGCCAAAAGGATGATGTCAAAGGTCCTTAAACTCTTAGCATTGCTTGCTTTGTGGCCGCAGGGTTGCTCTGCACAGCTCTGAAGGATCACAGCAGGCCTGTCTTGTCTTCTTTTATGGTGGTAAAAGACACATAATATAAAACTTGCCATTAATGATTAGTGCATTCACTGTGTTGTGTAACCATCAGTCCTACCCAGTTCCAGAACATTTTCATCAACCCTAAAAAAAAAAAAACCAAAAAAAAAAAAAAACCCACCCAGACCCAGTAACTGTCCCCACCCCTCGACAAACACTAATCCATTTTCTGGCTCTGTGGATCTGCCCATTTTTGGATATTGCACACAAACAGAATCCTACAATGTGTGACCTTAGGTAGGTGCTTCTTGGCACGATGTTTTCAGGGTTCATCCATGTTGTGGTATGTACCAGTGCTCTATTCCTTTCTGTGGCTGCATAATATCCTATCATGAATCCACTAGTCAGTTGATGAACATTTGGGTTGTTTCCATCTTTTGACCATTGTGAATAATGCTGTTATGAACCTGGGTGTATAAGATTTGTTTGAATACCTGTTTCTTTTGAGTATATACCCAGGAGGGGAAATTGTTGGGTTATAACGTAATTCTATGTTTAACAGAATGTGTTACACTTGTAACTAAAAAAATAAGAAAAAGGAAAAGAAGAGAACCCCCTTCCACCTGAGCTCTCCAAACTTTGAGGATCACAATAATCATTTATTGAGCAATTATCCTGGGCCAGACATTCCACATGGCTTCCCTGGTGGTGCCAACGGTAAAGAATCTGGATTCAATGTAGGAGATCTGGGTTCGAACCCTGGGTGGGGAAGATCCCCTGGTGAAGGAAATGGCTACCCACTCCAGTATCCTTGCCTGGAGAATTCCATGGACAGAGGAGCCTGGCAGGCTATAGTCCACAGGGTTACAAAGAGTCAGACATGACTGAGCGACCGACAGACATTCCGAATGCTTTGTCTCATTCAGCGGTTTCAGAGATGCTCAGAGTCACCGGTTCTCAAACTTGAGTGCAAATTGGTCCCAGGAAGGGCTTGTTAAGACACAGATTGCTGGGCTTCCCCTCCTGAGATCTGGATTCAGTAAGTCAGGAGCAGAGCCTGAGATTTCTCACAGATTGCCAGGGATGCTGGCGCTGAGCAGCACTGAACACCATCTAGTCCATCCAGGCCTGGTTTTCATTGAGGAAACTGAAGCTCAGAGAAGTCAGCAAGTTGACCAGAGTCACACAGCACGTAAATGGCAGAGTGAGGATGTCTGACTGAACCATGGTTCTAGCAAGCACCGGACAGTACTGAACTGTGCCTGATCACAGACCACGATCCTTCTCCAGGCGTGAACCAGCCAGGCTGGAGGACTTCCTGGCTGAGACCTCTGTTACCTCTCTAAGGGCCTCTTTGCCTGCTTGTGAAATGCATAAAATACTAGCATCTCTCAAAGGGGTGCCTACCCAGAGCCTTCTTGCCAGGACGGACCCCTGGGCAGGGCACCACCAGGCAGCGCAGAACACAGGACGGAGAGCAGGTAATCACACCCCACCGACACCGTCTTGTATCAGAGCCATAGCAGGACAGGCCCCCGGGGCTCCTGAGCCTTTTCTTCCTATCTCAGCCTTGAATTTAGGAAAAAGACCCTCCCCAAGTCTCCCGGGGTCAACTCGAGGTTGCCAGCCAGGTGGCGCTGCTGAGCGCTGCTGCCGCTGGTGGGTGGACGCAGTGGCCACCAGGTGGCGCAGCGAGACCACAGATGGGCTAACGGTACCCAACCTGTCCCTCCAGACCTGAGTGCCACCACCTGTACAGGTTGTAGACCCTGTTGCATTTAATTTCTTCCTCTCCCTTTATTTATTCATTTTATTTTTAAACTTTTTTTAAATTGGCGGATAAATGATTTACAATATGTGTTGGGTTCTGCCATACATCAACATGAATCAGCCCATCCCACACCTCTAGGCTGTCACAGAGCACTGTGTTGAGCTTCCTGTGTTGTTCAGCGAATTCCCATTGGCTGTCTTACATATGGCAATGTATATTTTTCAGTGCTGCTCACTCAATTTGCCTCACTCTCTCCTCCCCCACTCCGAGTCCACAAGTCTGTTCTCTTTGTCTGGGTCTCCACTGCTGCCCTCTCCTCTCCCTTTAGACATTATACCCCCAAGGACTTTCCATTCTATTATTTCATGCTGTTTTGATCTTTGCATAGAATAGGGGCTTCCCTGGTGACTCAGATGATAAAGAATCTGCCTGCAATGTAAGAGATCCAGGTTCCATCCTTTGGTCTGGCAGATCCCCTGGAGAAGGGAATTGCATAGTATAGAATATTTTTAAAAATATCTAACTTTATGTGGATCTTTTCACATAAAATTAATGGGACAAGACATAAAAGGAAATATGGCCTTCCAGAGATTCTTCCTCCAGGGGACCACCAATGGTCTTAGGGTGAGGAATAAAAGCCAGCCAGCTTTAGAAATAAACTTTATTTAAGACCCCACCCCAAAGGGAGGAAAAGTCTAGGACCTTCCTTGCAACTCTCATGAATGTTTAAAGTAATGTCTTATCACCGGGGAGGGCCTGCAGCAAAAAAAGCAAAGAATTTTGCTAAATTAGGTAGATCCTACATATTTTTCCCAAGCAAAGTATTGATATAGCACATGGAAAAGGGCTGAGATTAAAAATGAGCGCACATCAGAATTGCTATTTTTTTTAACCAAATTACACCTTCAAAGAACTTCATGATTTATCTCCATCTTTCAGCAGACTGCAGTATATTTCATACCCGGTTCTTCTCATGCATGGTTTAGGAATTCTATTTAAATGATGAAAAAAATGTATATGATCTGTGTTTGCCAGCGCTATCAAGTATCTTATTTGTGTCTTGTGAAAACACATGATGTCTTATTCCTGCCTCACAGTGACAGAGGCTTGGGGAGCAAAGCCACTTCCTTTGAAAAGAAATGAATGGGTCCCCTGAAGCTCGGAACCCTGGACTTTTAGATGGACGGACGTACTGATGATGAGCTGAGGCATCAGAGCTGCTACCCATCCTGTGTCCCACGGATGCTGTGACTGAGCCTCACGGATGACAGAGCTCTGCCAGGCTCCCGGCTCTGCGGACTGGGGGCTGTTGGGAACAGTCTCACGGATGCTCCACAGTCGCCCTGCATGCCCACCCTTTCGGCTTCCTCTTCCTGCCTCAGGGAGTTACTAGATTCTTCAGCCGTCTTTTGTGAATCTTAAGAAGTCCAGCCTGGCCCCAGGAGAAACTATCTCCTCCACTGTTGCTCCTCCAGCTCAGGGCTGGCCTGGGCTGGCTGGTGGTCCTGTGGCTCCAGCCCCCACTTGCCCAGCTGTTTCTGTGTCTCCGGGGTGGGCCCGGGATGCTGGGGGCAGTGAGAAGGGCTGCATGGCCCCCTGGCCCCCAAAGACCCTCCATCAGGGGGAGGCAGGCACTTGTGGGTTTTGGGGACCCCCACGTGACCTCTCGCAGCGGCGAACCTGCTCCGCGGCCTCTGTGCTCTCGGGGACGAGGTACCTGGCCCCTGCCCCCCGCCCGCCTCCCGGCCTGCCTTATGTGTATCCACTTGGCCTGCGGGGAGACGGTGGGGGCAGGAATGGGGCCATCCAATCACTGGAGGCCTGGCTGGTGGCCAGATACCAGAGGACAGTGGCCGGACCCCACGCTGACGGCCAGGAGGATGGTGGGGATGGGAGAAGGGGTGTGGAGACCCTTTTCCCAAGTAAGGTCACGTTCACAGGCCCCACCCGGGTGGACACGTCTTTTGGCGGGCACCGTTTCAGCTCCCCAGTGGTTATGTTTGAGGTGTCCACACACGTGAGTGGATGGGTTCACAGGGGAGGGACTCACCGGACACACGGGCTTGGCAGTTGTCAGCAAGCAGGTGGAATCAAAAGGGTGCCAGGAGCGGGAGGTGAGGGTGGAACAGAAAAGATGGCCAGGACTGAGCCCTGAGTGTTGCCTGTATTTAGAGTTGAGGTCAAGGGGGGCTGGCAGACCAGGAGAAAAGGGGCGCAGGGGTGGGGGGAAGGAGGGAAACGCCGAGGGGGTGGAGGGCGTGGCTATGAGAGCTGAAAGCTGCTGAGCCTTCAGCCGGCTGGGGATGGAGAGACCAGCTTCAGGGGTGTCTTTTCACTTGTCTCCTGCCCCCTGCCTTGCTGTGAACTGTGACCTCCAGAGGGGTCAGCTTCAGGCTGGTCCCACCATCAGGAGGAGAAATTCAAGCCTGGGTTGAGGTCCTCCTGGTTGCTCCTCCCCGGGAAGTTAGTTCTATTTCCTCCTTTGGACTAGCAAGTAATTTTGAGATGATCCCTCCTCACCTTATGAACACCTGGTCCCTGGCTACCTTTATTTATTAATTTTTTTTTTTATGGTAAAGCAAGCATAACATGGAAGTTACCATTTGGACTCTTTTCAAGTGTGTAGTTCGGTGGAATTAAGCACATTCACACTGTCTGCAACCGTCAGCCTCATCCAACTCCACAACTTTTTCATCTTCCCGGACTGGAACTCTGTCCCCAAGAAATTCCCATTTCCCCTCCCCCAGCTCCTGGCAGCCACCATTCCTTTTTCTGTTGCTATGAACTTGACTCCTCTAAGTTTCTCATGTAAGTGGAATCGTCCCAAATTTGTCCTCCCCTCTGCCTTTTCGAAAAGCAGCTTTAAAAAAATGGGCCAAAGAACTAAACAGACATTTCTCCAAAGAAGACATACAGATGGCTAACAAACACATGAAAAGATGCTCAACATCACTCATTATCAGAGAAACGCAAATCAAAACCACAATGAGGTACCATTACACGCCAGTCAGGATGGCTGCTATCCAAAAGTCTACAAGCAATAAATGCTGGAGAGGGTGTGGAGAAAAGGGAACTCTCTTACACTGTTGGTGGGAATGCAAACTAGTACAGCCGCTATGGAGAACAGTGTGGAGATTTCTTAAAAAACTGGAAATAGAACTGCCATATGACCCAGCAATACCACTTCTGGGCATACACACCGAGGAAACCAGATCTGAAAGAGACACATGCACCCCAATGTTCATCGAAGCACTGTTTATAATAGCTAGGACATGGAAGCAACCTAGATGCCCATCAGCAGATGAATGGGTAAGGAAGCTGTGGTACATTATACACCATGGAATATTACTCAGCCGTTAAAAAGAATTCATTTGAATCAGTTCTAATGAGATGGATGAAACTGGAGCCCACTATACAGAGTGAAGTAAGCCAGAAAGATAAAGAACATTACAGCATACTAACACATATATATGGAATTTAGAAAGATGGTAATGATAACCCTATATGCAAAACAGAAAAAGAGACACAAATGTACAGAACAGACTTTTGGACTCTGTGGGAGAAGGCGAGGGTGGGATGTTTTGAAAGAACAGCATGTATATTATCTATAGTGAAACAGATCACCAGCCCAGGTGAGATGCATGAGACAAGTGCTCGGGCCTGGTGCACTGGGAAGACCCAGAGGAATCAGGTGGAGAGGGAGGTGGGAGTGGGGATCGGGATGGGGAATACATGTAAATCCATGGCTGATTCATGTCAGTGTATGACAAAACCCACTGAAATGTTGTGAAGTAATTAGCTTCCAACTAATAAAAATAAAATAAAATAAAATAAAATGGTAGCCTATAAAAAAAAAAAGAAAAGCAGCTTTATTGAGACTGAGTTTTAATTCACAACCTGTACACTTCACCCATGTAAAGGAAGGGTGCAGTTCAATGGTCTTTAGTAGTTATTATTTAGTATATAACTGAAGGAGTCTTTTGGACCTAGAAAAGAGAACAACAGTCTCAAAGGCCCCTTGCTGAATCATCTAACTTCGGAGAAAACAAAGCATAACTTTAGTTCCTCCCTGATGCTCCAGGCCGGTTGCATCTATCTGGGACTTATCACCCCCTGTCTGAAAACCTACCACCCCCTACACCTGCCCAGAAGACTTATCACCCCCTGCCCAACTACAAATGTCATCTCAACAAAAGAATACTCAAAATATCCCGCCTGATTGACGTTTCCTTATCGCTTCCACAAACCTCCCTATAAGTATGAAGCCTCCCTGATCCCTCTTGGCACTCAGCCTGGTCGTTAGGGCGACTGTTGCCCCTCCTTGCCTAAATAAAGGTAACCTACTTCTGTTCAGGTGGTCTTTCCTTTTCTGCCTCGCTGGAACTTTACCTTACAATAACCACCACCTCTGTGTAGTTCCAAAACATCATCATCGCTCCCAAGGGAGACCCCATGTCCCTGAAATACTCACTTCCCATCCCGGGTCGCCCCAGGCCCTAACAACCGCTAATCTTTCTGTTGCTACGGATTTATCTATTCTGGACATTTCATATCCATGGGATCAGTACATGGCTCTTTGTGTCTGGCTTCTTTACTTAGCATGACATTTTCAAGGTTCATTCATGTAGTTCCCTCTGCTGTACAGTAGGACCTTGTTCTTAATCCATACTATATATAATGGTTTGCACCTGCTAATCCCAAACTCCTAATCCATCCCCCTGGACAACCACAGTCTGATCTCTATGTCTGTGAGTCTGTTTCTGTCTTCTAAATAGCTTCATTTATGTCATCTTTTAGATTCCACATGTAAGTGGTATCATATGGTATTTGTCTTTCTCTTTCTGACTTATTTCACTTAGTCTGGGTCTATCCATGTTGCTAAAGATAACATTATTTCATTCTCTTTTAATGACTGGAGACTCACATTTTAACATGATGATTTCTGTGCGTTTTCAGTAACCTTCAATTCCAAGGTGTGCAATTCTGGTGAATGTATGGGAAGCGCCCCATGAGCTGGCCTTGGCTCTCTGACCAGCACTCAGGCCTGTGGGTAAATCCCTGTGATTCAGCCAGTGGATTCTGGGTCTTTAGTACCTTCTAGGAAGTAGGTTTTTTTTTTTTTTTCTTTTTCATTGTTGTTCTGGCTACACTACCCAGCATGAGTGATCCGGGAACTATCTGGACCAGGGATTAAACTGGTGCCCCAACATTGGAAGCGCAGAGTCTTAACCATTGGACCACCGGGGAAGTCCCCTTTAGCACTCTTTAGAACTTCCCTGTTCTATTTGATAGCACAGTCCCTGGATGAGCCTCATTGGCCTCGCCTTGAAGTTTGTTAGGAATGCAGAACTCAGTCTCCACTCCACAACAATCGGATCAGCATGTGCATTTTCACTAGGTCCCCGGGAGTTTGCAGGGTGTTCTTCCTGAGATCTCCCATCATGTTGGCACCAAGGCAGCCCCACCCTCAGAAAGCCTCATCACCGAAGTGTGGGTGTCTGGTCCAAGCCCTCCAGCTCCCTGAGACAGAGGAGTGACTTTCTTTTGCATTTCTGCGCTGGGTCATTTGTGGTGTGCCTGAGCATCAGGGCTGGGCGTCTGGCCTCCGCTGGGACATTTGGTCCTGCCTGACCCTCAGACTCTGGTCTGTGCGGTGTCTGCCCAATCCTTCCTTGTGATGTCTTCAGGGTTGTGCCAGCCCCTGCTTTCCCTCAGCCACTTTCTTCTGTTCTCAGGGACAGAGGTTGCTGGGAGATGCTCTCACAGCACTGGCGGTGACTTGGGGGCCCACCCTGCTACTCCCCTGACATGCTGGGGTTCCAGCTCCCCTCTGCTGTCCCTTCTTCTGCCCCAGCAGCACGTCCTCTCTACCTGGGTACCCTAGGTAGCCGTAGCCTGAGGGGGAGCTTATCCCCTCCAAAGGGGCTCTTCCTGGAAAGATCCCCCCTCCCACATACCACCTTGGAGAGAGACTCGGCCTGTCTCAGGGATGGATGAGGTGGGAGGGCCCGTTTTCTAAGAAGCTTTTCTCTCCCTCCTCCCGCTCCCAGCTTCATTCTCCCTGAGATCTTGCCCTGCTCTATGGATGAGACTTTTGAAATAAAAGAAGAGTTTTTGTTGGGTTTTCCTCTGTTTCCTGGAGCATCCTTCTTGCTCAAAGGCAGTGGCACCAAATGCTTGGTTCCCGCACTGGGAAAAGGGTCATGAGAGAGCAAGAAGAGGGACAAATATGATTTCATGCAAATTTAATTGGGACCCAGGGCTTTGTCCCTTTGGGGCTGGTGGTAAATTGAGCTTTGACCAATCTTACGGGTTCTGCTGCTCTGATGGGTGGGATTATAGTCATTGATCCTAGGACACTTGGTCCTTCCATGACCTAATGGCATAGGATGTATATACCTATTTGTAGGGCAAGGCCAAGAACCCTAGTGTCTGCAGCTTCTATGCCCAGGCAGTGACTGATGGGCTTGGCATGGCAGCTGCCACCTTGCTGGCTTTACCCCGGTGCCTACCACTCCCTACTGCCTCTGCCACCCAGCAGTGCCACCCATTTACACGATTACCAGGTCCCTAAAGGCATTTAGTACTAAATGAACGATTCTCCCTGATTATAGCCTTTTCTTTCCCAGTAAGCTTAAACAGAGGGGAAGTGAAAAATGTGAACATGTCAAATAACTTCATATTTCAATAAGTACAGCTGTCGTGACCTGCCGGTGATTTATTCTGAGAAAGGCTATAGGTTGAATGAGCCCTCCTGCTGCCCCCCTCCAGGAAGTTTAGAATTAGAACCAGAGGATATGATTCTATTGAACTTTTGCCAGAATAAGTTCAAGAGGAGAGAACTTGACCTCATATATTTGGTTTCAGACCCCATGACCCTCCTTTCGGAAGGGAAAAAAGTCTTTCTGGCATCTTTTTCCATTTTTTTTTGAGCAAAAGTTTTGCTAAATCCTTGGGAACTAGAAACGCCAACATCCTGTTGTTATATGTCCAGAGCAAAAGATAAGGATCTAATTT